GACAGATGATTAGAAACAAGGGACAGAAAACCCAGAGCACAAGGGGTGGGGGAGGGGGCAGGGAACATAGACAGGATGCAAAATGTGAAGGTGAAAAACAGGGGACCCAGAGAATGGTGAAAAAGGAACGGGAACCCCGTTCTGTGGCTCCTGGGGTCTCCCAGTGTGTGGGGTTAGGAGAGGCTGGGACAGGGCTGGGAGAGAGCAAACGCGGTCAGGTGGCCGTAAGGGAGCCCCTGGCTCACACTCAGCCTGTGACCCTTGAAATGCCACCTCCCTCCCTGCCACCCTCCCCCCCCCCACCTGATCTCCACCTCCCTCATGGGGCAGGGATAGAATTCAGATGTGCTGAGCCCAGCAGCTGGGGGGGGGGGGGGTACGGACACCACAGCCCAGGAGAGAGCCAGTCTAGGCACAAGTGCTTTCAGAACCCGGGACCTTCCTTCGGGACTGACCTCTGAGGCACGGTGCCCAGGCTGCTCACGGCGTGGCACACTGCCTGCTTCCTGGGTCCGCTGCAAACACCGCGGCTTGCACCTCTGCGCCCTGGGCCCTGCACTCCGCTCACCCTTGGCCCCAAGGAAGGACAACGCTGCATTTCTGAAGGTCAGGTTCTAGCACCTTCTCCCAGGGTCGGCTCGAGGCCATCCTGAGGTGGTATTGGACTGTGGACCAGTCCTGCACCTCCCTTCTACAAATGCTCACTCCACCACGCCCCTCACACAGCTTGCCCATCCTGATGACGTCAGAACAACAAAGCTGACTGATCGGGGCCCCTGAACAGGCTCATGAGGGAGAGCCTTGGTTTGAGAGAAATTAATGGCTACTTGAAGTGATTGGAGACCAATATTCTGACTCTACAGAGCTCAAGTTAAAGAAATCTTCAGCCAGGTGCTGGTGGCTCACGCCTGTAATCCTAGCTACTCAGGAGGCTGATCCGAGGATCTCGGTTCAAAGCCAGCCTGAGCAGGAAAATCCGTGAGACTCTTATTTCCAATAATCCACTTGAAAACCGGAAGTGGTGCTGTGGCTCAAGAGGTAGAGCACTCACCTTAAGCTGAAGAGCTGAGGAACAGAGCCCAAGCCCAGAGTTTGAGCCCCACAACTGACCCCCCCAAAAAAAAATCTTTAGCCATGTACTGGTGGCTCACGCCTGCCTGTAATCCTAGCTATCAGGAGGCTGACACCTGAGATCACGGCTGAAAGCCAGGCTGGGCAGGAAAGTCCGTGAGACTCTTATCTCCAATTAACCACCAGAAAACTGGAAGTGGTGCTGAGGCTCAAGTGGTAGAGCACTAGCATTGAGGTTAAGAGCTGAGGGATAGAGCCTAGGCCAAGTTCAAGCCCCACAACTGACAAGAAAGAAAAAGAAAGAAAGAAAGAAAGAAAGAAAGAAAGAAAGAAAGAAAAGAAAGAAAGAAAGAAAGAAAGAAAGAAAGAAAGAAAGGAAAAAAGAAAGAAGAAATTTTCAGTTTGTTCCAATATGACAGCACTTTCTAGTAATGGGATCTTTAAAAAAAAAGTATCTTTCATGTGTGTATATGTATGTATGTATGTATGTATGTGTACATTAATGCTAGGGCTTCAACTCAGAGCCTAGGCACTGTCCCTGAGCTTTTTTGCTCAATGTTGGTGCTCTACTATTTGAGCCACAGCTCCCCTTCCAGCTTTTTGGTGATTAATTATAGGTAAGAGTCTCATGGACTTCCCTGTCCTAGATGGCTTGGAACCTCAACCCTCAGATCTCAGCCTCCTGAGTAGCTAGGATTACAGGCATGTGTCACAGCACCCAGCCCCACGTAATCTTTCAAAGCTCTAGGTTCCTTAACAGGATACCCAGGCTTGTTTTATCAGATGAGTGAGATAACATTTAATAGAACTCCTAATACAATCCCTGAAGTGCTGTGCAGACTGGGCAGATGCTGAAATGGACAGCCTTATCCACTTTGTAAGATGCCACCCCCTTCCGCCTCCACCTCCCCACCCCACCCCCTACCCCGACACAGGACCTTCAGACAAGTCCTCTGTCTGCTCCTGTTGTCAGCTCCTACCCTCCACAAGGGACAGAGCCCTGCCGAGGGGACCACGCCCCCTGCCCAACCCTCATCCCCAGCTCCCACCGACCACACAGGCCTCACAGCTCAAGCCCACCCACCACGGCTGCGTACCCTGTCATTCCCCTTGGGGACTTGCAGTCCAGTGATGGAGAAAGGGAAAAATAAAGTCAAAGGAATAATAAGCCAACGTTTATTGAGCACATACTATCTGTCAGGTGCAAGTCTGAGCGTTTTGTTTTTGCACGTGTAAGCACTCAATTCCAGCAGCTGTTTTCAATTGGGTACCAACCATTGCTGCCCCCCATGTACAGAGCTGGAAACAGCCACTGCAAGGTCAAGCGATTTGCCTAAGGACCCACAGCTGGTAGGGAGTGGGCTCATTTAACCACTTCTTTGGCTTCATAGCTCTGGAAGATACACGGGGTCAGACATCCCAAGACCCTCTGCCCCTGGCCCTTGGCATCTGTGTTCTCTGGGACGGAAATGCCCTCCCTCTCATCTCTTCCCAGTTTACCCTTTGACCTTGAGCACTGAGGTCAAAGGGACTCCTCTACCCTCCCCAGTCCAGCCCCTCCCATCTTTAGCTTGCTCTTTCCCCTACCAGTCTCCCAGCATGCTTATCCCAATCAGATTTATTCCCTGACCCTGTGTCTCTCCTCTCTCCTTGGACTCAGAGTGTCACAATACAGACAAGTACGCTGATAAGATAGTGTCTGCATCTAGTAGATGTTCAATAAACATCATCCGCTGAATTAATTGGTTGAGTGACTTACCTGGAGGTAGCCCTGAGGTCCATGGCCCCAGGCTCCCCTCAGCTTTCTCTGGTGGTCTCCTGACTCTCCTGGTGTCCCCTGCCCCACCCTGCTTCTCAGGACCCCAGCAGCTCGTGTCCCCTGAGGGAAGCGATGGCGCTGCCAGATGAGGTTTGTACAGGATGTGGGGTGCGGAGTGCTCCTGGGGTTCCAGGGACTAAGCTGGGAGTCAGGAAGTGCTGCTGAGGCTGAGGGGAGGCCCGGATCCCAGAGATGATCTCCCTGGAGCCATAACACAGAACCTCCAGTACTGTGGTCTGGAGGCCAGAGCCACACAGATCAGTATCACACCGGAGGGCGTCTGCAGCTCCAGTCTATGGCCCAGTCTCCCAGGAGACAGAGGGAGCCGTGTGGAGGAGGCTGAGGCCCACAAGAGGAGAGGAGGCGCTGATCTCCCAGGACCATGGTCACAAAGTGGACCCAGTCCTGAGGTCAGCCCTCAGAGGTGGGAACTGCCCACTGTACAGATGAGGAGACTGAGGAACAGAGAGGCAAATATCCATGTGAGGGCCCAGCAAAGCCAGACCCAAGCAGCCTTGTCTGCTCTAGGGCTATGCCCTGCACAGAGGTCAGACTTCAAGAGCAATTCTAGGGTCCCCAGTCCTAGCTAGCCAGCTGCTTCCAGAGACGGGGTCCCTACGGAGCACCCCTTCCTTTCTGAGCTGCTCCTCACCTTGGACCTCCCAGCAACCCTCACGGACTCCCAGAGACACCGACTCCCTGGGCCTCCAGAGGCCACTGAACATGATAGCCAGTGTCCCTCCTCACCCCGGTCCCTCCATGCGCAGCTCTGGAGGTGTCGCTGGGGCTCTGCACCCCCAGCTTGCCTCCCCCATGTCCAGATGCACCCAGGACCCTGGTCAGGCCAGCCCTCAGAGTCCACAGTGCCCTGTACCCTTCTTTGATGGCGCTACTCTGTAACTCATGCATCTGAGACTCCCTTGCTTGCCCCCAAACCGTGCAGACCGGCTCATCAGCTAGCTGGATCCCAGGGTGCTGCTGAGAAGGGGCCAGAATGGAGACATCCACAGGGAGACACAGCCCCTCTCAGGGGGTTATGCTGTGTATGTGCATGGGGGAGGGCGGCTGTCACCCTGTGTCTGTGTGTGCATGAATGTGTCTGTGTCTTCGGGTATGCCTGTGTCTATGTATGCATTCATGTCTGTGTGTCCATACATCTGTGCATGCATCTGGGTTTCTGTGTGTATGTGTATCCCTGTGTCTTTATGTATACGTACTCATGCCTGTGTGTTGCATGTGCCTTGTGTACATGCATGTGTATGCATTTGCCTGTGTGTGTATCCTGTGTGTATGAAGGGGGGTATTGATGCCCACGTGTGAATCAGTGTATGGAGGTTTGAGCGTGTGCTTTTGTGTGTGTGCCACTGTATGCAAGTGTCTGTGTATGTGTGTGTATCAGTGTATGCTTGTGTTCACATGTGCATGTCTGTGTGTCAGGGTGAGTATGTGTGTGTGCACATGCACAGCACCTGCATGCTTGGTCCTGGTTAAGAATGGGCCACAACTTTTCCAAGTTCTGAATTTTTCAGAAACTGCTAAGTGGGGAGCAGCCTGGCTCCCCTTTCTTGGGTGTCCTCAGGTCCCAGGTCTTCAGATGTCTTCAGATTTCAGATTTACTGTGTGGCCCAGATCAGGACGGAGATCTGTACCACCCAGAATACCTCAGGGCCACCACACATCTGTCCCAGGTTCCTGCTGGGAACAGGGAAAGGGGCCTCCCTCTGCAGGAGCCGCAGGGGCAGAGGGTGACACCCCTCCCCCACTTGGACACAGCCTGCCTGAGACACGAGCCAGCCCAGAACCAAGGAATTCCTGCTCCTACCATGAGGGCTCCCAGACCCAGCTCTGCCCAGTTCGCAGCCACTGGGGCCAATGAACTTCTCTCCTCTCTCTCTCTCTTTCCTTAAATGACATTGGGTTTCCTTCCAGCTGAAAGTGTGCAGAAGAATAACCCTCAGTGCTCAGGACCGAGATGTAAGTGGTGGAGGACTGGGGTGCATTGACCTCCGGACCCATCACCCAAGGACCCCCAGATCCTGAGCCCAGGAGAGCCCCCTTTGCCTGCCGCCGACCTGGCAGAGCCGTCCAAACAGCAGGCGTGAGCACAGCATGGATTTGTCTTTAGCTTTATCTTTGTAAGGCCGTACAATAGGTGGCAGGAGACCAGGCGCTGTACAGGAGCGGGCAGAGCGTTAGTGTACATACATTCATGTCTGGGACGAGGCGCACACGGCAGGGTTTATACAAGGTGGCAGAGGTTATAGTCACCACGATACAAAATATAAAGTACATTTCCATCTATATAAATACACAGCCGGGAGGGGGGGGGAGACAGGGACTGCTTTTCCAAGGGTGGACTGTGACATTAGGAATCGCTTACATTTGTTTTGAATGAGTCAGAGAGGAGGGAAGGAAGTGGGGGAACACAGCATGCGCACCCCAACGTGCTGGTCACACACATGCACAAACCAAACGTGGACGCACAGAAGAGCATTGCCTGGGGTGAACGTGGACTGGAAGACAAACTGAAGACATCACTCTAAACAGCTTCACCGCTAGGAAGAGCCGGCTTGTACCAACAGCCCCAGACCCTCCTACCTGGATCCCTCTTGCTGCTGTGTCCTACTGAATGTGACATTCCACCATCTACCACGTCCGGCCCCCACCCCTAAGTTCTCGAAAGAGATAAGCAAAATACACGCACACACAGTCACACTTGCACACACATGCGCACGCACATCCCAGGTTACCACTGACCCAAGTCTCAGGATCCCCAAGCCTGGGGCTAGGTAAAGCACAGCTCTAGTACTCTGCCCTCCCCCATGTTTTTCAAGGACCCCCAACATAGGGGGAGGGGGAGGGGATGGTTGCTTCCCCTACCCAACTTCCCCTCAAGACCTAAAGCTGGGGGGAAAAAATTAGGGGGAAGGAGTCTCAGGAGGTAAGGATGGAGGGCCATGTATCACATTTGGGGGTCCCTCTGTACCCCACTGGCCAGTGCAGGGAGCTGGTTCTACCTCTGCTCAGGCCCACAGAACAAGGTGGAAGAATTGCTACTCTTCTCCTGTTAATGTTTACAGAGAGATCACAGCCCCCTCCCCCCGCCCCATCACTTCTGGCTAGTTTCCGCACACCCTCAAAACCCAGGGGAAGCGGGCGGGAATCCTGGCCATCGATGTCCACAGCCATCAGAAGTGCAGGGAAGGTTGGGTGAAGAGAGGGCAAAGGCCTTTCCCACACCCAGGGCTGAGCTAGCAGGTGAGGGTCTCGGCCACCCCTGGAGAAGGAGCCAAGAGCTCCTCTCCCGATTTTCCCTCTGAGGTTACCTCGCCATTACTCTCAGGCCCAGTTCTTCCCTCTGGATCCCCTGGAAAGAGCCACAAGGACCTCACAGGGCCCCAATCCTTACCAAATCAGAGCTGTCCCTCCCTGACCTCTTGTCTCCAGGTTGCAGCTAGGACAAAGCTCCCAGGCTTTCTTCGGAGACCTGACGGACAGACAGCCTGGCCTTGCTGCCACCTGCTCACGGCCTCTCCAGTTGGCTGTTTCTCCTGCTCTTTCTCACCATTTCTTCCAGACCCTGTTCAATCCCTGACCCACACTCATGCTCAGACAACACTCTTCCTGCTGACACACAGACTCCACAAGGAAGGACAGCAAAACACATCAAGGGAGGGGATGCTGAAACATCTACAAAATAATAACGACGAGTAAAAGTGCTTTCTTTTAAAGAAAATCTTTGGCAAGAATAGACTGCAGGTGTGGAGTGGTGTGTGTGCATGTGTGTGTGCACGTATGCATCTGTGCGTATGTGTGTGCACATGCGCAGGCCCACCTGTGAGACAGAGAGAGGAGAAGGGCCGCAGGCGATAGTGTAGTCCCCCAAGTGGAGCTTCCATGGGCCTGTGGTCCCTTCCCTCACCATTCTTCTGGAAAGGCTAAAGCTCTTAGGCTCCCATGGCCCCCAGAGGCATGCTGGGAATAAGTGATCAGCACTGTCCCTGGTTTATTCCCACAGCTCACCAGGGGTGAAGGCCTGAAGTACAGGGCTGATCACACCGGGGAGGGGGCTGCTGGTGGGCTCTGGTGTGGAAGCAAGTGTAAAATCTGACCCCAGACTCAGATCCAGAGGGCCTGACACCTCACCCAGCTTCAAGCACGTACAGGACACCCTGACTGGAAGAGCCCCTGGGCTGTGCAACATCGGATACAATATTTACAAAGAAAGGGGACAGGACCTATTTCCCATCTCAGAAGAAGGAATCTGGGGTACAGCGGGGAAATGAAGAGAGGGGCCATCAGGCATTGGTTTGAATTATCTCAGAAGGAAGGACACTTGAGGAGGAGGTTGGCCATTAAGCCCAAGGTTTTATCCTTTGAGGAGTCTTCCACTGCTCCCCATCTGAGATGCTCCCCAGCTCCCTGAAATAGTATACCCACACAGACATAGCTCCCTGGAGGAGAAACACACACACACACACACACACACAAGATAGACACGACCCCCCCAAGCCACACACATCTGGGTCTCATCCCACTCACTCACTCTGGTCTTCGATCACAGGGTGTGTGCCCTACTCATCCAGAGAGCTGGGCCCCTGGATTGCCAGAAAACAGAGAGGGGCAAAAGGGTTAGGCACGTGTACCTCTTCACCACTGAGCCCTACAGCCCTAGACACAGTCTAGGGAAATCAAGGAGAAGGTTCCTGGCTGTTCCAGGGAGTAAGGTGTCTATTAAAGGCTCTACTTCTACTGAAACTGGTTTATGGCCAGGGAGGCAAATAAAGTAATATGGGAAAACAATAAATACTTCTTGTCAATTTACCTATTTCCTTTTTTTTGTCACCTTTTCTTATAGTTTATTAGCTTACAGATTCTGTCAGTATGTCTCACATATATATTATATATATATATATTTATATATCAATACAATGCCTCTCTCTGGAGGACCCCTCCCCCATAGGCTTAAGAATGGACTCCTAGTGAATGTTCCCTCTGGCTAAGAGTCCTCAAGATGGTGGTCAGGGGGCTCCTAACTGCCTAGATGGATCCTAGGCCCTTTGGTCTAAGCATACCTTCTGCCCACACTCAGTGGACAACAGGGCTTTGCATGGGGAAACCAAGGCAAAAGGAGATTCAGCAAGGCTTTGGCATTGCGGGTAGGCCACATGGTGCTCTGGCGGCAGCCTCCAGGGCCCTCTGATGCCACCCCAGGTACCTGGGTGGGTGTCCCAGGGTGGAGACTGGGGACTTGGGGGATCTCCCTGCGTTCTCACTGAGTGGGGCTTTGAGAAACAGGATGAACCCCAACATGAGGACCCTGTAAGGGGAGGACAGAAAGGCTTGGTCCCCAAACTCCCAAAAGGCATCATGCAAATGAGTAAGTCTGAACTAAGGCTGGTGTTGGGGCTCCTAGCAGAGAAAGGAGGCTGAGAGGTGAGGGTAAGGCAAAGTCCTGGGCACTGAAGAGAGAGCTTAGCCCCCACTGGCTGCAAGCCACGTACCCAGAGAAGATGGAGGGGTTTAGCAGCCATCCTTCCTGACAGATCTCTTGCCCAAATCTCTGAGTATCCACTTCCTCAAACCCAACTCCAGCTCTCCCAGTAGAGACAGAGGTGATCCTGGAGGGGTAACTACCAGAGGGGAGGGGCAGGGACCAGCAGAGGGAGGGGGAGGAGGGAGGGAGCTCTGCTACCCACAATGCTGCACGTTCTGTCACCTGTCACTCCCTTTGGACAGAATGCACATGGGTGTGGACACATGGGACCCAGGCATGCAGAGCCGTTTGGAATATTCTAGCAGAGAGAGGCAGATATAAATCAGTGTCTGCGGCTGTGAGGGTAGATTATACACACCCCACAACGATACAGGGGAACACAGTGCAGACCTGGGTGGCTCTGGTCTAAGAGACTTGAAAAAGTTCCACCACGGATGGTCCGTGTTGGCCGACTGCTTTAGCAACCTGCCCTATAGGTGGCCAGAAAAAGGACTCTCAGTTTGATTTCTCCTTGCAAAGCAGGTGTGTTGAGGAGCCTGAGCTTTTTCATTACCCCTTAAAATATGGATTCCCAAGGAGGCCTGTGGGTCCTCTGTTGAGGGACTCTGTTCTCTTGCGGGGGCAGGGGGCTTGGGGGGAGCCAGCAGGGGCATAGGGTTTTTGCAGTTTCCAACTACCCAGGGGAATCTTGAGTTCTCCATCATATTCTTTCTCTGTCTCCCTCTCCCCTTCCCCTCTGCAATTCACTTCCCTCTCCCCAACCACACACTTTCTTCTCTCCTCAAAATTGGCCCCCAAGTCCTCCCTCTGGATCCAAGGTGGCTAGGATTCCTGAGTCCCCTCCCACGTGCCCCACCCCAACCGTCTGGCGCTAGGCAAGGACTCCAGAGGCTCATCTCTTCTGGCCAGCGTTCAGCATGACCTTGGAGACGAAGTTGACAATGGCGGAGGCAGGCTGGTTGGAGTCAAGCTCGGCGAAGAGGTGGCAGGCGTTGTCGGTGGTGCTGCCCTGCTTCCGGGCCACGAAGCCAAACAGCCTGCAGGGGCGGCACAGGGGCAACTGTGTGAGGGGGGAGCAGGAAGACCCCAGGCCCAGACAGCAGCCCCAGAGGCAAGTCTGACTCAGACCAGAATGTCCCCCACACCCCCCAATCCTCCTGAGCATCGGGAAATGGTGTTTCACCCTGGGAAGAATCCAGCAAAGTCAAGTCCTGGAGACAATGTCTGGCTGTGTTTCTAGGCGGGCCATGGCTTCCCCTTTCCGGGGATGAATGGGGAGCTGGGTGTGAAAGACAAGACTCGAGAGTAAGGGTGGGGAGGAGAGCAGAAGCAGGGACATTGGAAGAACATACACAACCATGTCTGTCTAGATGTTGTACGCATCTCTCTGTAGTTGGGGTCCACAGAAGCCTACTGCATTCTGGCAGGTTTTGTGAAGCATAGCCATCTACTTCCTGCTCCGCGTTTCTACTTGATTTTTTTTTTTTTTTTGGTCAATTATGGGGCTTGAACTCAGGGCCAGGGCACTGCAGTTCAAAACTAGCACTCTACCACTTTGAGCCACAATGTCACTTCTGGGTTTCTGGTGGTTAATTGGAGGGAAGAGTCTCATTTTTCATGCCTGGGCTGGCTGTGTACAACAATCATGGAATCTCCTGCCTAGGCTGGCAGCCCTCAGATCTCAGCCTCCTGAGTAGCGAGGATTACAGGCATGAGTCACCATCTCATTTGTACTTTCAATGAGATGACAGTATCACTATTTTACACAGTTTACATAATTGTGAAACTGTCCATCCTGGTGATATTTACATGTCAACAGTACTGACAGGATACAAGGAAACCTGGCATTATACATTAATTCACCTCTTATTTTCTGAGCAATGAGTTGTGATTACTTTATTTCATTTTGCTAGTGTTTGCTTCCTGTATCCCAAAACTGTATTACAGTGTTCAAGTGATACAAGGAATTTGTGTTCATGGTTAAAGCAGAGAATAAACATGTTAATTTTGAACACAGATTTTTAAAATAATGACTATATTACTTACTATACTGCTGTACTTACTATTTAAATATATGGAATTTTCTTTTATTATTTTTTTGTCGGTTGTGGGGCTTAAATTCTGGGCTTAAGCACTCAAGGCGAGCACTCTACGACCTGAACTACAATGCCACTACCAGTTTTCTGAGCGGTTTATTGGAGATAAAGAGTCTCACGGTTTTTTCGGGCTGGCTTTGAACCACAATCTTCAGATCTCAGTCTCCTCAGTAGCTAGGATTACAGGTGTGAGCCACCATGCCCAGTTGGAATTTTAATTTTTATAAGATAAATTTTCTCATAAAGAAAACGGAATGTAGATAAACATGAATATGGCAAATGAAAAAAAAAGTTTGGAGACATTCCCTGATGGGTACCCCTGGCCCTTCCCAGAGGCTCCCTAAGACCCCAAAAGGCAAGCGGACCCCACCCCAACCCCTGGGCTGGGAAGCCCAGCGAACAGGGCTGCCTCTCACTCCTTCCCACCTGTCCACTCACACCCTCCCTGCTCTGAGACTGCAGAGACCTCGCCGTTCTCTTTTTGCAAAACAGAGTTAAAAATATGAGGGCAGAGAACAGAATGTGAGTTCAGGGCCTCTCCCAGCCTGCATGTTGCTAATTAGAGCGGGATGGGGACATCAGGACAGCTGGAGATTCCAATGGAAACCCCTCTGCCTGGAATGGCACTGCGTGGCTAAAATTAGCCAAGTTGGGCTCTGCCTGTTGCAGGGTGTGTGTGTGTGTGTGTGTGTGTGATTGTGATGCATGTGGTATTTATAGATATATGTATGAAAACACACACACACATCACACACCCTGTGCTTGGAACTGCTAGGCTCTCTCAGGGAACCACAGGGCCAAAGTGTGGTGGGGTGGGGAGGGGGGGGCAATCTCTCAGCCTCCTGTGTGGAGCCCTAGCTGCCCTTTTCTGCCAGGATGAAGATCTGGCCAACTAACACCCACCCTAAATACCGCCACCTGCTGTGCCTACAAGCTCCAGCCTGCCCAGCTAGCCGGCAGGGACACCAGGGGGAGGCCCAGAGATGGAGGCTGAAGAGCCCTCCGCCCCACACAGCCCTCAAGGTTGATGGTTCCCAGACTGCTGACCAGTCTACTCCCATCCCGACCAAGATGGCCTCCCTGCAGCCCTCTTCAGCCTGTGCTCTCTCCTTTCTCCAATCAGTCAGGCACCAGCCAATCAGGCTGGCACCAGCAGTAGCCTGCAGCTGAAGGTCATGCCATGCCCTCCCCCAAATCAGTCTTTCTCCACACCCACTTTTATCTGTCCACATCGTACCTTTTTAAATCATACCCACTTTAAAACACTTGTTCTTTCCCCAAACCTCTCCTCCCTCCACCCCCCAGACTCGATGTGGCTGAACTGTCCTCTAAAACTATGAGTTTGGGGCACAGACAGCCAGGCTGCCCTTTCCCAACCAACCCCTGTCCTGGATTCTAAACCTGCCCCTGCTGCACTGGTAGAGGAACACAAGGCCAGCTGGACCTGTGAGGGCAAAGAAGTCAGACTTACTTAGCTGGGGCTCCTCCCTCTGTCTTCATCCACCTGTGGAGAGAAAAGAAACTCAAGGTGAATCACTATCCCTCTTCCTAGGAGCCCCAGGCCTGAAACAGACCTTCCTGGAGAAGACAGAGGAACCCCCATTTCTGAGAGACAGAGCTTCTCTAGGTCTATGATAGAAAAGACTCACAATGGCCCTGCCGTGGATGCAGGAAGATCTTCCACTTGAGCCAAGACTACACAAGGATGCACATGTGCACACTGCAGAGTTATACAGCAGGCAGGAAGGAAATGTGTTTGGTTTTTGTCCAAGAGACTTACTTTCTTTCTTGTGGATCCAGGTCACAGAAGGTGACAGTGTTGAGAGGATAGTGTCGTCGGAAGAAGAGCCTGTGGCACAGATAAAACAACAATGAGTGCTTCGGGGACTGCTTTTCCCATATTCCACCCACTGGGCAGGTAGCCTTCCCATCATCTGCCTGTCATGGGTCCTCTTGCTTGGGAGCAAGATGGCCTATGGCCTGAGAAATGCACAGCGGCAAACAGATGTGCCACAGAAACATGGAGGAATGGGAAGACCCTGGAGGAGGAAGGAAATGGGCTGGGGACATGTTTAAAAAAGAGCCTAAGGGCAAGGGCTCTCTGCTTCTAGGAAGCAAGGACTTTTGTAAAGGTTGTAGTTACAGCTGTACTCAAGGCAGGCATATCCTTGTAAGATGGGTAAATGGATAGATTTATGGATGAACAGATTGATGATGGATAGATAGAAGGATGGATGGATGAATGGATGGATGATAGATGGATGGATGAGGGATAGAAGGATGGATGGATGGATGATGGATGGATAATGGATAGAAGGATGGATGGATGGATCAGATGGTTGGGGTGCAGGAAGGAAAAGTCCAGCACAGAATCAGGTAGAAGATGCTTACTTTCTCTGGTTGTCAGTCAGTGTGATTCCCTGGGCAGAGACCTTGAAGTGAACGATGGTGGCAGTTGGCGTGGGGTCAGCAGCCAATGTCTCAGATGTGGCTTTGGAGATGGCCTGGGGCCCAGTGAGTGACTCCATGTCCACAGAGTTGATGAAGAGCACATTGCAGGCTACAAAAAAATCAAGCCAAGGAGAAGTCAGGGGATGGGGGAGTGGGATGACAATGGTCCAGGCCTGTGGCTCAAGGAGACATCAGTGTATTAATCTCAGGCCAGCCTCGGGCCAAAGCTTCTACATGTAGAAATGTGATCAGTGCAGGGACATCTGAGCTTAGTAGAGGCTTCCAACCCACACGTGAAGGACGGGGCAGAGAAGAAAGGCCTGGGCATGGGCCCAGTCTCAGGTGACCACTCACCTGCTCCTTGCTTCAGCAGGTCAGCGGTTGAGTTAGCAGGGCCGGAGCTATCTTTCGATTCATCTGTGGGGTCTGAGACAAAAATTCAGGTAGTAATTAAAACCTTAGAGCTGGGGACCGGGGTTGGGGGAAAACATGAATTTGGCTGGGCCTGAAGTGAACTCTGCAAACACACTGTGCAATGGATATCGCTTTCCATAGCAAGTCCTTGGAGTTAGGCTGGCATTGGACACAGCAACTCTTGAGTACTCAGCATGTTGCTTGAGAGCACTGGAATCTAGCAAAGCTGGACCACTAGCCACATCACTAGCCAAGTAGCTATAAGGCCACAACCAAGTGTGATGGTGGTGGTGGTGGTGGGATGGTGGTGGTGGTGGTGGGGTGGTGGTGGTGGTGGGATGGTGGTGGTGGTGGTGGTGGTGACCGTATCACTGAGTCTTTGAGATGTTCTATAAAGGGATTTTTTTGGGGTTGTTCGTTTTGTGTTTTTGTGTGCTAGTCCTGGGGCTTGAACTCAGAACCTGGGCACTGTCCCTGAGCTTTTTTGCTCAAGGCTGGTGCTCTACAACTTGATCCACAGCTCTACCTCCTGGGTTTGTGTGTGTGTGTGTGTGTGTGTGGTTAATTGGAGATAATTCTCATGGGCTTTTCCTGCATGGGCTGGCTTTGAAGCATGATCCTCAGATCTCAGCCTCCTGAGTAGTTAGGATTACAGGCATAAGCCACCAGTACCTAGCAGGTATTTTATTTATTTTTTTCCAGTGCTAGTCCTGAGGTTTGAACTCAGGGCCTGGGCCCTGTCCCTACGCTTTTTGTTGCTCAAGGCTAATGCTGTACTACTTGAGCCACAACTCCACTTCTGACTTTTCTGATACTTAACTGATAAAAATAAAGAGTCTCACAGACTTTCCTACCTGGATTGGCTTTGAACCACAATCCTCATATCTCAGCCTTCTAAGTAGCTACACAAAAAGCTTTTAGTCTAGTACTTAACAAAAGGCAAGGCTTCAGGCCCACCCACTGGCATTTGCTGTTGTAGTTTTGCATTGATGTTTCTTTGTGGAGAACAACAAATGACCTCATTCATTAAAACCAATGCAGCACAGTGTTGAGTGACAGTACACAGCAATTGTTGAGTGACAGTGATTACACCTGTAATCCCTGTACTCAAGAAGCTGAGCCTGGGTTAACCCAGGCTTTAATCGTCTGTTGTAAAGTAGCTTGGCTTTACATTTCAAAACATGTCAACATGTCTGTAAACCAAAACATCACAGTAGGGAACGGAGGTGTGGCTCAAGTGGTAGAGCACTGTCTCTGAGTGGAAAAGGCCAAATGAGAGAGCAAGTTCTTAAATTCAAGCACCAATACTAGTACCAAACAAATAATAAATAAATAATGAATCAGAAAATACTCTGTGCCTAGCACAATTTTTATTTTAATTATACCTTAACAAAATTTTAAAACAGAAAAAACAGAATTTAGTTTGTTTCTAGAAGTGTTTTTTCATGTTTTAGCGTGTTTAGTGTTTTAGACTTTATTTAGTGCCAGTGGTGGGGCTTGAACTCAGGGCCTAGACACTCCTTGAGCATCTTTTTCTCAATACTAGCGCTCTACCACTTGAACCACAGCTATACTTCTGACTGTTTGGTAATTCATTAAAGACTCTCATGGACTTTCCTGCCTAGGCTGGCTTCAAACCATGATCCTCAAATCTCAGCCTCTTCAGTAGCTAGGATTACAGGCATGAGCCTGTAATCCTAGCACCTGGTGGTGTGAAGATTTATTAAAACACAGGTTGCTGGGCCCAACCTAAAATATCTCTCTAATGCATTGGGTCTTGAGAACATTTTCATTTTAACCAGTTTCCAGATCACATGGTGCATCTGGTTGGGGGAACCACACTTCGAGAACCATTCCTCTATACAATTTAAACCTCAAATGGTTGTATAATTGCTGAACAACCACAGTCAAGTCTGTATAAAATGTAATGTAATCAGTGTCTCAATTGTGTGGTTACTAATGCTACTGAAGTTATATTTGAACTTTTAAGCTAATCATGTTGGTCAATTATTATTAATAAGTCAATGAGTTTAATTGGATAAATATCACTGGATAAATAGATTTCATCTTTTCCACCATGACATCGATCTCTGGTGACTTGTTTCAGGCTGCTTAGGGCTTCTCCCAGGAAGAAGCTCTGAATTCCCAGATTTCAGAACCATCTGGCATGTATGTATGTTCCGAGGGTAAGCCTCTTTAATGAAGAGAGACTGTGTGTGGTTTTGAGTTTGCCCCTATAGGCAAAATGATTGGGTCTGGTCCCCCTGGCCCTGCTCTGAAGTGGCTGGGGAGGTGGGACAGGCGGTGGCCGGCTGGGCTTGGTGAGCAAGGCGTCTTGTCTTACCTCGGTTTGGGATGACCAGCTTGCAGGGCAGAGCCAGTGGGATGATGGAGTGCTGGTAGACCAGGGCCGACAGGGATCCTGCAGCGGGAAGGTGACAGCGCATGTCAGGGGGGTATGCCTGGACACACCACTCCCACGTCAGGGGGGCTAGCCCTGGACATGCCCCCCATAGCCACCCTTTCACACAACAGCTGCAGCTTCCTCTTTTTTTCAGCACCTTGAGCAAACTAGGCCAGTCCTCTACCACGGAGCTACACTCCAGCTCTCAGCTACTTTACAACCTCTTCCTCATGCCATCAACAGAGCTGAACACTCTCCTCCCCCATCTCCCTCTCCTCCCCCCCCTCTACAAAATCCAAGAAAGATCTGATCACTCTAATGGTCAGAAGGGGAACCTAACAACTTTCACAACTTTCTTTGACAGAAAGTCCCCTCTTCCCCCACCCTCCCCGGAGAGAATGTGGCTTAGCATGCGTGAGGCCCTGTGTTCAATTCCTCAGTATCACATCAACAAAAAATAAATAAAATGGATAAACATTCTTTTTTTTTGCCAGTCCTGGGCTTGAACTCTGGGCCTGGGCACTGTCCCTCAGCTCTTCAGCTCAAGGCAAGCACTCTACCACTTGTGCCACAGCACCACTTCTGGCTTTTTCTGCTTATGTGGTGCTGAGGCATCGAACCCAGGGCCTCATGCATGCGAGGCAAGCACTCTACCACTGAGCCACCTTCCCAGCCCTAAACATTTTTAAAAGGTAAAAGATTTTTTTAAAGTTCCCCTGACATCTCTCCTAAGTCCCTCTAGTTATAGGGACCCTCTCAGATTGGGACAGGAGTATTAGAAAATTGTGGGGTCAAATCCCATATCGGTCGCTTAGAATCTGTGTGCTCTTGGATAAGTCTAACTTACAAGTTTTCTCATGGGGACAATAATATCTATCACACGGGACTGTCATACAATCAGAAATACAGCAGGAGCCAGGCACCAGTAGCGCCCACCTGTAATCCTAGCTACTCAAGGGACTGAGATCTGAGGATCTCAGCTCAAAGCCAACCAGTGGAAGAAGAGTCTGTGAGACTCTTATCTCTAAATAACCAGCAAAAAAAGTCAGAAGTGGAGCTGTGGTTCTAGTGGTAGAGTACCAACCTTGAGCAAAATAAACCAGGCAAGAGCCCAAAACTCTTGAGTTCAAGACTCAACCAGCACAAAAGAGAGAGAGAAAAGAAAAAGATAAAGAACAAGAGAGAAAGGAAAAAAGAAAGAAAATAGGAAACACCTAGACAGCAACACATGTACAGTAGGTAGGTGGCCAAGAACAGAAGATGTTGTTAGAATTCTAATGGCAATTGTCATGACAGAACAGTCTGAACTGGGCCCCAGGACAAATACAGGCAGGAATGTGGTATGTGAAGAAGCCTCAGGAAAAAGGAGGAAAACAAATCACTTTCTCCAGTTAAGTCAGTGATAAGCAGAGCCTGGGTGGAGAGGGTTTGGGTCAGACGCCAGGACCTGAGGCCAAGCCTCTGCGGCCATACCAGAGGAACAGAGGCTGGGACACTCACCAAAGTTGGGCTCATTGGGACAGCCCTTGAGCTTGACTCCTCTGGGGCCCGTCTCGATCAGGAAGTGCCGCACCAGCTCATGGGTCATGTCTCCTGGGAGGAAGAGGAAGAAAGAATTGGTCAACTGACTGTCCTGTGTTCAAGTATATACCCTCAACACCACTGCTTCCTGTCCCTCCAGGAAGCACCACGTGAGACCCGGATGCTGCTGTCTCCCTGGGCACTGACCCCGCCATCACAGGCCCAGGACGTAGTCTTCTTGTGTTTATGAGGGACCAGTTCTGCTAAGAATTAGGGTTCCCGCTCAGGACCCCGAGGCCCACCTGGGAGAGGACATTACCTTTTTTATTCTGCTGCATGATGGTAGGAGGGGGTGAGGACACCTTCATGGCCAGCCCATAGGCCCCTCGGAAGGAGTGGCTGTCGCGGATGATGAAGGCCCCTGGCTCCTGATCCTTAAGGAGTGCAATGGCTGAAGTGGAGGGACATAAGAGGTGAGCAAGATATTGGTGGCCCTGCTTGAGCCTCTGTGTGTGTGTGTGTGTGTGTGCACATGCACGCGTGCACGGACGTTCGCCAGGCCTAAGACTTGAATTCAGGACCTGGGTGCTGTCCCTGAGCGTTTTTGCTCAAGGCTAGTACTCAACCACTTGAGTCATAGCTCCATTTCTGGCTTAAGGAGAAAAGAATCTAATGGACTTTCCTGCCTGGGCTGGCTTTGAGCCAAGATCCTCAGATCTCAGACTTCTGTGTAGCTACGATTATAGGCATGAGTCACTAGTAACCAGCTGAGATTTATTCTTTAAAGTCATACTTGATCTATGCCAAGGTAGGCAAACTTTCCACAAGTAGCCAGAGAACAACTATTTTAAGCTTTACAGGACATACTGTCTGTTTCAATTGCTCACTTCTGATGCCACTGTGGGAAGGAGCCAGATAGGGTAGCCATGTTCTAATAAAACTTTATATATATATATATATATATATATATATATATATATATATATAAAAGCAAAGCCTGCTGGGTGTCAGCGGCTCACACCTGTAATCCTAGCTACTCAGAAGGCTCAGATCTGAGGATTATGGTTTAAAGCCAGACTGGGCAGGAAAGTCCATGAGACTCTTATCTCCAATTAACCACCAGAAAACTAGAAATGGCACCATGGCTCAAAATGGCAGAGTGCCAGCCTTGAGCAAAAGATTTGCTCAGGGAGGTGCCCAGGCCCTGAGCTCAAGTCCCATCTCTCTCTCTCTCTCTGTCTCTGTCTCTCTCTCTCTCTCTCACACACACACACACACACCATAGCCTTTCTGCCAGGCCCAGTGGTTCATGCCCATAATTCTAGCTACTCAGGAGGCTAAGATCTGAGGGTCATGGTTTGAAGCCAGCCTACACAGGAAAGTCCTTGAAGCTCTTTATCTCCGATTAAGCACCAAAAAAAAAAGCCAGAAGTAGAACTGTAGATCCAGTGGTAGAGTGCTAGCCCTGAGCCAAAAAACAAACAAACAACAACAACAAAACCCAAAAACCTCAGGGACGGTGCTCAGGTCCCGAGTTCAAGCCCCAGGCCCAGCAAAAACAAAAAACAAATAACAAAACCCACGGTGTTTCTCTGTGAGTCTGAGGTAGGCTTCACCTCCAGTACCACATTCCCAACTTAGGTTTCTTTCTTTTCTATAAAATGTAAAGACATCGGCTATCCTCCAGCTAAGGTTTCCTTTTACATCAGCTGGACTTTTGCTTTGCTCATGGAAAACAAGCCACTGGCTCTGCCATGCTCGCTTTCATTGGTGAGTACATCTGCGTGGCTTCTAGCTCAGCCCTGGCTCTGTGAGCAGAGGAAGAAGGCTGTTTGGATCCTTCCCAGGGCAGACATGATGGGCAACAGCATGCTGTGTCCTCTGCTGAGCCCCAGAGCCCCCACCCCACACTCACCCTGTCCCCAGCCCTCTGCTGAGCCCCAGAGCCCCCACCCCACTCACCCTGCTCCCTGGAGATCTCAGGCTTGTACCAATACTTGGAAGTGTCCTGGACAAACTTCACTTTAGCCCGAGTCTCAGGGCTGTTATCTAAAGGAGAAGAAAGGGATAAAAGAAAAAAGATATGTTGAAGTCCTAGCCCTGAAACTTATGCATGTGTGTCCTTATTTCTTTATTGGGAGATAGGATTTTTGCTGCTGGAATCAAATTAAGGCCTTCTGGATTTGGGTGAGCCCTAATCCAGTCTGACTATTGTCCTTAACAGAAAAGAGAGAAGAGACAGAGACAAAGAGATGATGGATAGCATCGGTAAAGGGGAGACAAACATCAGAGATACCAAGGATCCCAACCACTGAAAGAAGCTGGGAGACAGGCCTGGAAGATTCTCTCCAGAGCCTCCAGAAGAAATTGCCCTGTTGACAGCTTGGTTCTGGACTCCAGGCCTGTGAACCTATGACAGAATCCTTTCCGACTGTCTTAAGCCACCAAGTATGTGGTGCTTTGTTATACAGGCTCAGGATTCAAACACTGATAACTAGTGTCCCCAAACCTAACACAGCAGAGTAGAAGGGACCAGTGTGGTCCTCTCCCCGTCCCCAACTCCTGCCTCCATCTTGGGTTGCCATGCTGATCACCACTGATGAGCCTGGCACAGCATTCTCCCTTCACCTCTACCTCTTCCTCTAAGGAAATCTTCCCAGCATCTTCCCTCCATAGGCTGACGCCCCTCTGCCTCTTTCTCCACAGGCCCAGTTCGAGTCATTTCTTCCAGATGCCACTTTCCCACGTGGAAAATGGGATTCACTAACACATAAGGGAAAACCACTCTCTCTCAGGACAAGGAGGCAGTGGGCTGGCCTAGAATCTAAAGGCCATCTACGGCGTCACCCCCCCTTCTGTGGCAGAGGACCCCCCGCCCACACTCTACCCACCCTGGAATCTTTCAGAGACCATTACATTCTAGAGGGAGTTCGGGCAACACAGAGGACAACTGTGTCATGTTACAAAAATGTCTGTCCACTCTGCCGGCAGACAGACCAAATGGCGTTCCCAGGAGGCTCAATTTGGGTGCCGACACATCACATCCTGTCTTCCTGGAGCGGATCAAGATGGATAACCTCCATCCCCCAAGCCTTTATTTTTTCCTTTTTAATTAACCCATCATCGTTGCACATCTGTATTGCATAGTGTGTGATACTTCAACTTGCGTTGATCCAAGTAGGCTCATTAGCATTTCTCTCCCCTCCCCTGTTTGTATGGTTCGTTGATTTTGAGACAGCAATCACTGTGTGACCTAGGCCATCCTCAAACTCTCAGTCCCTCTGCCTCTGCTTCTTAAGTGCTGCCACTACACCCTCCTCCTTATCATTTCTGTGTCTGGAGTCTTGTTCTTCATAATCACCCCCACTGTTCTATAGGACTCCTGTCTACCTATGTTCTTTCATCTTTTGGCACCAAACTGGAAAAGAAAAGAGGATGGGGGAAGAAGAGGAGGAAGAGAGAAAAAGGAAAATTGCAACTCTTCAGGTGTCATCTTCAGGAAGAGAGGGAGTAGAGCCAGTCTGCACCCAGGATGCTGTGGAGTTGAGGGAGATGGGAGGGAGTGGCGGGCTTGCACGGCTCCATCCACCCACAGTAGTCTGCACTCCATGGGGCCCCTGGGCTCTGTCTCTGGAGGCCAGAGAGGGGCCCGCTCCTTCGCCAGCAGCTGGGTGCTGGGGAAGGCGTTGGGGCTGCGCAGCTGGGCCATGCGACTATTGCTGACACCTGTCCCTGCTCGGAAGCCCAGGCCCCGAGGTGGCCTGCGCCTGTTTTAAGGAGCTGTCAGAGGCGGCTGCGATCCCCTGTGCCTTCCTTCCTGTGTTGACTCCCAAGGCTATTTTAGGCAGGAACGGTGATGGGAAACAGGAAACATCCCAACTACTACAGGAGTTGCATCCTTCGAGGGCGAGGGGCTGGGAACCAGATGTCCCCAGAGGGCAGCAGGAAGTGGAGCGGAGCGGGGAGGGGAAGGGTGCTCTAGCGCCCCAGCTTGGCGGGTTCAGGGAGAATCTAAAACACTCCACACCTGCCTTGTCTACGCAGGGCCCGGAAGCCGCTGCACACAGTCAAGGCCACGCTTGCTGGAGAAGCCTTGGATACAAAGATGCCAACACCTGGGGATGGATGAGGCCTTCCCTGGGCAGACCCGTACAGGCTTCCTCGAAGCCGGCCCCATCGAAACTTGCCTCTGTAGGAAGGCCCAGTACTCAGCCTCCGCCCATGTCCTACCTGGCCACCACATCTACTATCAGTGACAGGTGTGCACTGGGGCTGGCCACAAGCTTAGAGGTCCAGGCTTGGAAGTCACGTTCTCCAATTTCTAATCAGTCACAAGATATAGATTTGTGATACAGAACACTCTGATGATACTTACAGAATGTGAGTTTGGGGAGCGTTTGGACCTGGGTTTGGAAGCCTAGCCCTGCCACTGTTAACTGTGTAAGCTTGGACAAATGACAGACCCTCATAAGGCTTGGTTTGCTCCTATGTAAAATAGGACTTACCAGGAGGCCACGGGGATTAAATGAGATAGTACTTAGTTCAGAGGCTGGCCTGGGGCATGCGTTCAGCCGGTGGCTATGAGGCCTGATCCTCACAGAGATCCAGGCAATAATGCCAGCCACTGGTAGCACTTTGTCACCCCACACCACAGCACTGACAGTCACAATTCCTGTGTAACAGGAGGAAATGGAGGCCCAGAAGCCAGTGACTCATCTAAGGTCATCTGCCCAGGGAGATGAGCTCCCTACGTAGGTCCTAGCTCCTGGACTCGGCTCACCGACAGGGAGGTGGAGACATGAGAGAAGACACACCTGGCATGGAGTATTTGGAGAAGTCAGGCAGGGTGTGGGAGAAGGAGACGGTGCTGCCCGCACTGGGACTGGACATGCCGCTGGTGACAGGCGAGGAGGACACCTTGCCGTTGACGGTGGCGTAGTTGGGCAGGCTGCCCGCCCGGTCTCCCATGGACATCCTCCGCTTCTCTGGTAAGGCCGGTGTTGGGCTCCCTTGCCGGAAGGCAGCGGAATCCGGTGAGGGTGACGTGGCTGGGCTGCTCAGGCCCGGGTAGTAGGCCGGGGAGACGGGGAAGGAGGGCGTCGAAGGAGCCTGGTAGCCTGAGGCACTGCTTTGCCGGGACAGCGTGGGTCTCCGGTCCTCTGGGGTGGAGTAGCCGCCATGGGCCGTGTGCCGGTCCAAGCTGGGGCTGCTGGAAACTGCAGATCCAGACCCTCCCAGGTGCCGGCCCAGGCTGGGGCTCCCAGGGCTAGCTAGTGTGTTGCTATGGAGACCCTGGTGTGTGCCAGGGTGCCGGCCCAGACTGGGGCTCCCGGGAGTGGTTGCTGTACTGCTTGGGTGACTGGAAACCACGTTACCATGGAAACCAGAGCCCACTGGCCCCATCACTTGGCGGTGGCTCAGGCCAGGGCTGCCAGGGGCAGCCATGCTAGGGTTGATGGCCCGCCTGCCGAAGCCAGGGCTTGGGGGAGTGTTGGTGCCCACCGTCCTGTGGCGGGTCTGAGGGCTCCCGGATCCTGGGTGCACACCGGCCACGCTGAACTGAGCCCGGGCCTGGCTTTCTGGAGAGGAGTTGAACTGCTGAAGGGAGTAGTCAGGGCTGCTGTAGCTGCTGCCCATGCCCGGAAGAGGAGAGGAGCTCTGGTAGCTTCTCTGTACCACAGGGCTGGGCTGCCCCAGGCTGCCAGAGCGGAAGCCGGAATCCAACAAGGGCTGGGTGGGAGTCCGGGGGCCCTGCTCGCTGCTCTCCCCAGATGGGAAACTTCCCACCGAAGTGCTGGAGAGAAAGAGATGGCGGGTTAAGGGGTCAGCAGGGGCCATTAGTAAAGGGCAGATGTTCAGTGATGCCCAACCTTCCCTCCTACCACTAATAGCAGCTGTACGAGCTGCACCGGCACTGGGAGGGACTGGCAGGACTTGTATACATCGCCTTATAGGACCATCAGAAGCTGAGGGTCAGGACCACACAGTTCCTAAAAGCCGTGTCCACACCGCTGTGTATGACGGAAAAGCCCACCTCTTCCCCATTGTACCTCATAACTCTTAAAATGTTTTATTATTGTTTTAAGGGGATGTGCAGAAGGTTACACTTACATAAGTCAGGTAATGAGTCCATTTCCTTTTGGACAATGTCACCCTTTCCCTTGCTCTCTCCCTGTTTTTTCCCCTCCTGGCCCTACCTCCAAGTTGTATAGTTCATTTCCATGCTAACTCTTGAGCCATAAATCAAGGCAAAGCCACCTCCACCATCAAAACTGAACGTGGATGACCTGGTGGGGGCCTCCAGCAGCACAGAGATTCATACCGGAAAGGAAGTCAAAACATCTGGAGTGCTTCCACAGAGGCCCACCTTGACTCAGTTTCCCCAAGTGTGCCATCATTCCCCTGAAGGGGCAGGGAAGAGGACTAGCCAAGCATGCTTGTTAAACTCCAGAGAAAGCAGCCTCTTGCTCACCTGCTTAACAAGGTCCCACCTTGATCTGGGTGGGACTCAGTATGCTGAGCCCAAAGTGGGTAACGTGGCTAAGGCAGCCTACAGGGTCTTCAAGGGACATGGGAAAGGCGGGTAATGGGGATTCTGTAGGACCCATGAGATCTGTCAGAAGGGGCAGGGCAGGCTTCCCTCCAGGCCTTATCCGAGCAGATCTCCACTTTCCTTTCCTGCCTCATTCCTAAAACCCAGCTAAGCAGCTTCTCACTACACCTCAAATCTGAGACCTCCTTCTGCTGAGCCTGTCTGCACAGGCTGTCCACTTCCCCTGCCCAACCCTGGCCTTTCCCCTCGGTCTCACTCACTCAGATGGATGCATGCTGTCTATCCATCAGGACGCCCCCCGCCCCCCTGCAAAGACTATATGCCCCGAGTGCTCTCTCTCTCTCTCTCTCTCTCACACACACACACACACACACACACACCACACCATACCTCAGTCCTCCGCTCCTCTGTACTAGCCTTCTAAATTGTCCCCCTTCTTCACTGAGTAGCATCCTGCTTTCCTGTGGGACTTCCCACCAAATACTTCCAGCCCTCAGAATCCCTTCTGCTTCCTCTCAGAGAAATAACAACCTTTTCTCAGAGTCACAAGCACCTTTCTTCTCTACTAGCTCTGGGCACATGTGGCTGTCATCCTGTGAAGAGAGGCACACCACACAGGTCTCGGGGACAGATAGAGATGTGGGCTGGAGAACCACAGAGCTGCCTGCTGAGGCCTGTTTCAGCTACTGCTCAGCCAAGGAATCTATCTTAAACAAGCGACTTCTCCTTCGTGCTTCAGATTCCCTTCTCAGATGTAGGGATAGAAATAGTAATTCGTTAGATGCTGGTGGCTCACACTTTTAATCCTAGCTACTCAGGAGGCTGAGATCTGAGGATGGAGGTTCAAAGCCTGTGAAAGTCTGTGAGACTCTTATCTCCAGTTAACCAGCAGAAAACCAGAAGTGGTGCTGTGACCCCAAGGGGTAGAGTGCAGCTGTGAGCAAAAAGAGCTCAGGGACAGTGCCCAGACCCTGAGTTCGAGCTCCATGAAAAACAAACACAAAAACTAAGTATCGCCCAGGATCGGGGTGAAGAGTAAATAATCATGCACCGCACTATACAGAGCCCCTGGCATCAGAACAGCAATCACTGCATATGGGCTCTTACTGGTGGGTTGGGTTGGGAGGGGTTTAACTCTGGGGCCAGGGCACACTGGTCATGGCTGCAGGTGGATCTTAACCTCAGGGGAAAGACTGCATCTTGCATGTGTACATAGATGGCGCCTTTCACTCCTTCTGACACCATGGCAGGTGAGGAATTGAGCACTGCCTGGGAATTACAGCCCAACCACCCTGGCTTTTCTAAGGTGCTTAAGTGGTTTTCCAGATGCAATTTCTGCCCCATCTCACCTGGGCAGATCCCAGAAACCCCCCTGGCCCGTCTCAGGCCAGGAACATCTTCCACGAAGCTCCTGGCACACCTGGCTTACCTATCAGCGCTGAGGATGGGGCTGCTGGTGGAGAGAGGGCTGGGGGAGACAAAAGAGCCACCCAGGGTCCCGTTCCTCAGGGGCATCTCATGGCTGTAGGCCTGGGCAGCTGGGGCGCTAAAGTTCTTGGGATCAGCATCCTGAGCTCGAGGCCCAGCCACTGCTGTCCGCGCCACTGACTCCACATAGCTCCGGGGCTCTGGAAGGGATAAGAGGACAAATATTGAGCACAGGATGTTGTGGGTGCAGAAAACACAGCATCCCCCAGAGTCCAGCCTGGGGGGAAAGGAGCATAGGGACAGCCCCTACAAGACACTACGGTACCGTGCCAGGATTCCCATCTTCCCACATCCATTGTGCCCCAAGTCTACCTTTAACCAGAGTCTGGTACTGACAAGCTTTCAAGAATCACGATTTCCAGAGCCAAGGCTCTGCCTCAGCACACGGCCATCAGAGCCTCTTCCCCAAGAGTGAGGACACCTGTCCACGCTGGCCCTTTTCTTCCATGGCCCTGCTGCCCAAACCCCACGCTCCCCTAGGTAGCACAGGAGCCTGGGCCTCTAGCGCACAGTGAGACCTCTTGCCTGACCTTGCCTGTACCTCGGGACCTCACCAAAGTCATCCACATGCTCACTTGCTCGCCTAGCAACAGGTCTGTGTTACTGAGTCATGGCCAGTGCTGGCTATTACACACTTTCCAGCTCCGTCTCTGCCAAGACACTTCCACCCACCTCCACCTGACACACTCAGCATTCCTCAGTAGACTGATGCCAGAGACACCGCCAGGCCCTACCCAAGCCAGGCATTCGGCACCACCTCTGGAATTCCCATTGCACGAGGCTCTGGACAGAGGACATGGACACACCTCAGCCCCACCGGGTATGGCACTCAGCGTAGGAGGGGGGAGCGGGAAGGCCACTGGAGAGAAGAGACGAAGGTCTGGAGAGTGAAATCCCTGGAGGTACAGCTAGGACCCGGGCCATCCGACTCACAGTCCAGCACTTGCCTATCACAGCCAGTGCCTCAAATCAAACAGAACAGAGGGAGCCGGGCATTGGGTTTCTCCACGAGCATGATCGAGGATGGACACTGTTCTACCTACCAACGTGGCACCATCCCTGCCAGCTTGGAGGGACAAGGCTGGAGCACAGAGCCTGCTCTGTCACACCTAGGACATTCACTGAAGCCAGCCCAGGATACCCCATGACCCTGAGGAGGCCGAGTCCTGTAGGCTTGTGGACCAGGGTTGTAATGGCCAGGTTAGAATAACCCAGGTCTTCCCTCCTAGCCTGGAAGAAACCTCTCAAGGGGGGGGGGTCCGAAGGAGGGTCACGAGACCTCCTGTGTAGCATCTCTGTCTCTTTCCGGAGCAGTTCCATTCCTGACATCCTACAGCCAGGCCCCTTGTGGAGGTCAATGGTGGGGTAGGCTGGGACAGGGTCTCTGTACCAGACACCCCATCCATGGTGCCACACACCTGTAAACTCAAAGCTGGACTCTCCTGTGCAGCCTAAGCCAGTTCAGAGCCAACAGTCACCTCATAGAAGCTTTGGGCCAACTTTGCATAGAAGGCCTGCTCTCTGTGTGTCCAGGCCAGCAGGCCCTACAACAGCTAAAGATGCTCAGAAAGTCTCTGCTCCAGGGCTGGGATGCTTGAGCATCTCCAGGGTAGGTCAGATCTCTCCATTGTATGGCACAGCCCTGCTTTGCAATGTGATAGCACTGTAGACCGTAGCTAAGTGAATCTCAGCCCACAGAGGGGGAGTGATTTACCCAGGACACACAGCCACTTGGTAGCCATGGGGACCAGCACCCTAAGTCTCCAAATTCACAGTGCAGGCTCTGGATGGCCTAGGCCAGGCCCACAGTCTCAGAGGGACACCCACTGCTACCCAGCACACCAGCCCGAAGAGCCGGAGATGTGCTATCAGCACAGGGGCAGTCCACAATAGCCAGTGGGAGGCAGGATTTGAACCTTGTCTCGGTCACAGCTACCAATGGACAGGACTGACCTAGGAACCCAGGAAGGCTGGTCAGAGCCTTCTCATACCCACAGCACATGGCCTCTTGCCCTAGGTAATAACCTGGCATGGCAGAAAAGACCCATCAGAGGAAGCCCGACTCACAGAAACCCACACAAGATATGAGCCTGAGTCACCATGCCTTCCTGACCCTCGCCATCCAAGCTACTCCCTCTAAGGCCTTTTCAGGTCCTCTGTATGGCTCTGCCCAGCTCCTCATGGCACACTACAGCCCATCCCTCCTAGCCAGAGAATGCAAGGGGCATCTGTGTGCCATGGGCTGCTCACAGGCTCCCTCAGGGCCCAACACCTGCCTAGCAAATGGGTGCCTGGCATGGAGCAGATCTCCAATCATTCAAGACACACGCTCCTCTGGTCTCTGCTGGCTCCTTCGAGATGGGGTGAGTCTCACTCCTTCCACTGCTGGGGTGCAGCATGAAGAGCTTTCCAGCCCTCAGGTTTTTCAGTAGTCCATTCAGCTCTTCTGGGTTATTCCGCTTGGCATCTGCCAAGACCCCTACATCATGACTCCTACCCACATATCTCTTTGCAAACATGTGAGTATCCCTCCTCTAACTGGAAGCTGAGAGGGGGTCCCTCAGTGAGGACACAGCCCTACTGGCCCCACGTGTCCTCCTGGTCTGCTGGCCACCGTGGGGGCTGAGCACCTTTGACCCGAGCCTGAGCTTTAGGGCAGGAGAAGGGGGTAAGCAGAATGGGCTGAAGGACAGACCCCTGGAAGTCCTGAGAGACCAGAAACTCTGAGCTGGCCACATGTTCAAGGCCTCAGTCTCCTGGGATCTGCCCCAGCCCCTTCAGCTTCCAAACCACTGAACACCAGTCCCCTACACAGGGCAAGAGACTGGATTCAGGGCACTGGATGATTTACCAGGAGAGCAGCAGGTATCTGGAGACAGTCCTGTGGGTAAAGCAGCCAATCAAGCCAAGGCCCCTCAGAGGCCAGCCCCACTCCTGCAGCCCCTACCTTGCTCTACACCTCCCTTCTCTTCCACCTCTGGTTTGTTTTGCCAGTTATGAGGCTTGAACTCAGGGCCTGGGCACCATCCCTGAGCCACTTGAGACAGCTCCACTCCCAGCTTTTTGGTGATTAATTGAAGATAAGAGTCTTACAGACTTTCCTGCCCAGACTGACTTCAAACCATGATCATTAGATCTCAGTCACCTGAGTAGCTAGAATTACAGGCATGAGCCAACACCACCAGGTTCTCTTGCACCTCTTATCCTTCTCAGCCTCCTCTTCCTGTCCCTCCACTCCCAAGAGACACAGTCTTCCCTCCCCCATTCCCATATCCTCTGCTCACTGTCCTCAGGACCTTCGCCATGTCACCTGCTTTCACGAGGTCACCTCTACAATGCTTAAAATCAACCTCAGTTACTAGCTCCTGCTTCTGCCTTGGAAAGGTTTTCATACATTCCTTCCTACCTCTCTCTCCTTCCCATCCACCCCCCTCTCTCCCTTCACTTACTAGAACTTTCTGGGACTCAGTGTTCCCCCACTGCGAAGTAGGAACGGGAGGACCCACCTGCACAGCTGGGATGGAATGATGGAGAAGGGACGGATCCTGCTGATTCAAGCTGGCTCAGAGTAGGTAGGGCTGACCTAGTCCCTCCTCAGCCTTGCTCCCTGCCTCTCCCACCCTACCTTCGGGGGTGCTCCCTCCTCCTCCTCCAGTCCCCAAGCAGCTGACCCACAGGCAACAGAGCTGGGAAGGGCAGGAGAGGTGGGGTCGGGGAGGGTGCTGCATGGAGAACATTCCAGAAGCCCGAAGCCATTCCAAGTGGCTGTTGGCGGCTGAGAACAGCTGGAGGCCCAGGGGACTTGGCTCCTCAGCCCAGGGACTGGCAGCTCTTCACCCACACCCTCAAATGCATTTCTGACTCCCTAAAAAAAAAAAAAACATTGGCTGGGGCTAAGGGAGCTACGCTGCCTACCCTGAGGAAAATAAAGATATGCAAGAGCTGACGGGGTAGCACCCTTGCCTAGCGGGTGCAAGGTCCTGGGTTCAAGCCCAGTCTGTAAACAAACACACAAAATCCCGTCTCTACTAGGTGCTAGCTCACACCTGTAAGACTAGCTACTCAGAAAAATCATGGTTCAAAGCCAGCCTGAGCAGATAATTCTGAGAGCCTTACCTCCAATTCACCAGCAAGAAGCCACAAGTAGAGGTATGGCTCAACTGATGGAGCAGCCGCTTTGAGCAAAACAAAGCCAAGCAAGAGGTAAAGGCCCTGAGTTCCAGTACCAACACAAACAACCACCCATCCGTGTCGTAGGGTTATTTTTTTTTTTTGTCAGTTGTGGTCCTTGAACTCTGGGCTTGGGCGCTGTCCCTCAGCTCTTCAGCTCAAGGCTGGCGCTCTACCACTTGAGTCACAGCACCACTTCCAATTTTCTGATGATTAACTGGAGATAAGAGACTTTCCTGCCCAGGCTGGTTTTGCACCTTGATCCTCAGATCTCAGCCTCCTGAGTAGCTGGGATTACAGGGGTGAGCCAGCAGTACCTGGCTGCTGCAGGGATTTATGGCACTCCTTCCCACCCCAGATCAGCACCAAGTTGGGGCGCCAAGTTCATGTTCCTGTTGGATTGCTCTCCTCCTCGTCCCTTTGCTGCCTCACTCAGGGCCTGTCCTAGAGTCGCTCTGAGCCTCCCCTGGGGCCACGGGGTTCCACAGAGCCCCCATCCACCAAGCCTCTCTGAGAAGGAAGAGGATATTTCTGGTCCATGATCTCTCCCTGTGCCAAATGCAGCCACACCCCATCTCTGGGGCAAACAGAATCGGGCCTGAATGTTCACGGCCAAGGAAGCCACTGCCCACGTCCTCCGTATGTCCTCCCAGTAGCAGGACTGCTTCCTCACCTTCCCATGGAGGAGGAAGAACTCCGGGTCCCCACACCCAACAGAGTCACTGTTGGGATGTTGAGGTGTCTCTTCCGTCCAGTGGAGGCACTGGAAAGGGAAAGCTTCTGTATGGTGATTTAGCTCAGGCTCCTAGCTGTGTCCCTGACCGAAGGAATCATCAAACTGCCCTAAAATGGGATTCCTAGCCCCCTTCCCCCCAGGCGGCCTGGCTCCTGCCTGCCTTAGCCTTACTTGATAACACACACACACACCTTACTAAATGCTCCAGCCTCACTGATTTCTCAGTTCCTAGAAAATCACGTACTACCCCTTCCCACCCCCCAGGGCCTTTGCACCTGGCATGTTCATCTGGGATTTTACCAAGTTGATCCCACTCAGCCTCACATTATTCCTTTAGCCTAGGGTTCAGTTCTTTGTCATCAGGGCTCATGAACGGTGTCCCTCCCCTCCAAAGCACTGCATGCATAATTCTGGTTCTTGTTCACACCAACTCTCTATGAAATTAGCAACCATAGCTCACACTTCACTTTATTATGTCTCCAGAGCCCGGCTTGTAAGAGGAACTCAAGATAATGATCGAATCCATGAAAAAAAAATGCACAGATGTAGTTAACACAGTGACTTGCATGGAGCTGAATAATTCTGCCCTGAATTGGGTATGCCTCACAGGCTCCTTCTTCTTTATTTCCCATCAAAGTATCAGCAGGGAAAATCAAATAACACTTCTGAGGGTCGGCAAAGAATGTGCTCCAGCCTGACCCAGGAGGTGGGGCCTGAGTCAGGAAAGCTGGCACTGGCTGCCCCAGCCCTGCTCTCTGCCCTCACCGCCCAACTCCCCAGGCAGCAATTCCAACGCCCACACTGGAATCCCAGGGCCTGGCGCCTGGAGGCAGGAGAAGGGCTCTGAAATGGCCTCTGATTAGGAGACAGGAGAGCCAGCACCACAGTCACTTCTGCTGTTGCCTACCTGTGTGTGACCTTGGACAGATTCCCCTCTGCTGCCTGGAACACAGGCCTGAGCTCCAGATCCCCGACAGCCCTGGTGTGGCTGAGTGGATCCCCAGGAACCTCTCCCTGCACTCGTGCGGCTCCGGGTCAGGTGTCTGGGTCAGGTGTTGGATGGTGGGGACTCATGGTCTTATAACAGAGTCCTCTGTGAGTTCTACTTGGCATGTCTCATTTCCTCCAAACAGAGAAAAGCCGCAGATCCAATGGCTTCTGTGTGTCTGTGTGTGTGTGAGTGTGTGTCTGTCTGTCTGTGGGTTGACCCAGCCCTGGGACCTCATCAGAGTGGACCTGAAGTCCAGGCAGGTGGACTTTAGCCTACCTCTTCCAGCCATGACCTCCCAGCCTCACCGCACTGTGGCTGTCTCGGTCTAGCCTGGGAAAAGGCCTTCCCTGGGCAGGAGGCTGGAGCAGCTCAGCCCTGGCCTCGCCTTCTAAGTTCCATGGTCAAGCTGCTGTGTTCTGCAGCCCCCAGGCAGCCTGTGCTCAGGCAGGCCAAACAACAGGCAAAGGCTTCTGGGAAGCTCCTGGAGGCAGCAGGGTCAGAGGCCATGCTGCTTTGGGGTTGGGAAGTCAAGGCAATGATTGCAAAGGGGAGTAGGGTTCAGAAACCCAGACAGAATCCAAGGCAGCCAGCCACTGGGAGACAGGGCCCAGGTGGGGTCAGCACCCACCTCATCCACCCATGCCTGGTGGAGATGGGAACACCAATGCCCAGAGCCACACAGGGGCCAAGGAGGCTGACACACTTCCTTTACCATCGCCCTGAGTCCGAGTGAGTGAGATAAGGCCTCACACCAGACTTGTCCCCCTCTGCTTGCCCAGAGCACAGCGTAGCGGTTCTACCCACCCCAGTCATGCTGGGGTACACAGCCATGCCATCTCCTTGAAATTCTGCTCAGACATCGTATGTACACGGCCCCAAGTCACTTTCCTGAAAGCTCCAATGGGATCTTCTGAGGTCCCAGGAAGACAGACTTCTGCTCTCTGTGTGGACAGAAGGGCAGGCAGGCGCTTCCAGAGGACAGATGCTGGCTATGTGACTGACTGGCTCTGAACTGGGGCAAATTATCCCCCAAAGGGACACCAGCCATAATGGAAGCATCTTTGATCATTACGACTGGCCGAGTGCTGGCATCTAGCAAGAAGCCAGAGACAATGCCAAAGACCCCACAGTCTACAGAGCAGCCTACCACCAGGGCTACGGGGGACAATCTCTGCTCTGTCTGCCATGATATGTGACCTGAGCCCCATCTGCCTGTGTATGTGCCACGTTCCGGGACGTGGCACTGCCCCTGGGACAGGAAGCAGTAGGAGAGGTATCTTAGTCAACAAGGTGACACCTTGCTGGCGCCTGGGCACTGGGTGTGCCTGAACTGGTGCCCATTGGCCACGATCTCCCCAGGCAGCATTCAGCTCAGGGTGACATGTCCTTGCCAAGGGGTGGGGACAAGAAGGCTGTGTGCCTGTCATTTGAGATCAGGTAAGAAGATAGATACCAGGCTCCAAGCTGGTCAAGCTCTGTGTGGAAAGCCATTCCCAGTCTCAGAGTGCAGGAAGCGGCCAACCAGCAAGCTGTGCTTACCTTCTGGAAGCTTAGGAGCCTCCTGGCCCTCATCTTCCTCTGAGGGAGGAGGCGTGGGGGGGAGGAGAGGCAGGAAAGAAGACCAGGTGATCAAGATGAGAGAAAGAGCCAGGAGGAAAAAGAGAGACACACACAGAGAGATATTGGTTAATGAGAATGCATTCTAGAGAACGAATTTGCTGAGAAAAGGGAAGCAGGAAGGCCGAGGAAGAGGAGCCCATGGGGAAGGCTGAAGTCCATCCTGCAGAGCATCCCAGAGTCCAGGATGCTTGGATTTAGGCTCTCCGTGGTCTCTGCCTTCCACAGCCAGGCCTGTGGCTGTGTCAGGAGCAGTAAGCGCTGGACTGGTGACAGGCAGCCCCACCCCCTTCTCTCTGGTGGCTCAGTGTCCCTGGCCATGCTCTCCCGTGTTGGAGGCTGTGCCCAGCCAGTGTCTGTGTGGCTCACCAATGCATGCCATTGCCCTCCTACCTGTCTGGATGAGTCTTCTGGCAACTAAGGAGAAAAGGCAGAGTTGACCCCCAGAGTCCCAGCTCAGCCCTAAAGCCAGATTCATTTTCTAGAAGCCATACTTCAGGCTTTCCAAATCACGGTTAAAACCCCAGACTACTGTCCCCAGTGTCTCTAGGTCTGGCTGGGAAATGGCCAGGGGAAGCGGGAGCCCAGAAGTGACCACCCTGCTGGGCAACATCTTCTGCACAGGCCCAGGACTCTGTCCTCTGCTCCGTAACCAGGACAGGCTACTTGACCTCAGGGAGGTCGGGGTCAGCCTAGCAGTCCCTGGGGTCCAGCTCCCATCCTCAGCAGTAGGCTCAAATGCTGCCAGCAACTGGGATATGGGCAAAGCGATGGAGGAGAGGCCACCTTCGGACGGCAGAGCCTAAGGCAGGGGGGACCCAGGGCTGGATAGGTGGCAGACGGTGGTAGCTGCTGCTGAGTGACAGGTTTTTCCCAGAGAGGCACATGAGGAAAGCAGTCCGAATGCCAGGGATCTGGCTCAGAGCAGAGGCTGCTGGGCCACAGACGGGGGCCCTGGTACAGGCTGGTAATGGCTGCACATTGGATGGGGGTGGGACAGACTTCCAGCAGAGAGCTGGATGATTGCAAGGAAGCCTTGAGTTCCCAAGGCCATCCAGGCAACACTAAGGCAAAAAGGCTATAAAAGGATGCCAGCCATCCCCGGACCTAGCATCCGGGTGTCACCTAGCCACTGCCACCTCACCCCCAGCAACCCTGAGAAGCTCCACTCTGGGGGGGGGGGATCCTCCCATCATACCCCCTGCCCAGGACACAAGGGCCTCCTCCCTTTCACCTCCCTCTACCAGCCAGCCACTCACCGCCTGTGGGGTGCAACAGGATGTCAGCTGGGTTGTGGGGCTTCAGGCCCAGAGCAGACAGGGGTGTCTTAGCCAGGCCAGGAGGGGAGCGTACTGTTTGGAAAGAAAAGGAGGAGACACAGGAATGAGGGTGTAGCTAGAGTGGGCTAGACAAGCTACAGGGAGGGGAGCATGCTGGTGGGGCTGGGAACAAGGGAGACAGCCCGAGTCCCAGCTGCTCCCACTCCTTCCCCAGTCTCCGTGTTTCTCCACATGTCAGCAGTTTCAAGGACAAGAAGAGAGTCAGAGGGCAAGGTCTCAGTCCCAGCCCAGGCCCCACCCAACCTTGAGGGAGTCATTTCTACCCCAGGCCCTTGGTCTCTTCTGACAGCCCCTTTATGTCTTAGGAGCTTACAGCACACATGTAGGCTCCTTCAAATATCTCTACCTTTCTCTAAAATACTCTATTTTCCCTCCTACCCCAACTCATGCCCCAGCACCTTTACTCCAAACACACACACACACACACACACACACACACACACACACACACACACACACACACACCCCACATGCACGCATGGATGTACACATCTGCACATACATGCACACACATAGTGTTTGTAAGCCATGTACATGAATAGACTCAGAAGAGGACAGGCAGAAATGGAGTCTTAAGAGGACACATGCTAAAAAAATGTAAGAAAGGAAAAAGAGATCACAGGCCGGAATTTTCCAGCCCTGAGATCAGAACAGCCATCAGTCCTACATGTCCCTTACAAATCCCAGCAGGCAAGATCTCAGTGCCGGGCTCTGTATCCCAAGCCTGGGGGCTCAGGGTGAAGGAGAAGCCCAGGCAGTGCTCCACCAGGAACACCAGCTCCCTGCACAAAGCCTGGACTTGTCCTGAGCTGCCCATCTGGGTTACAAGTGTCACCTAACACACAAGGTCAGAGCGGGCTGCTGGCCTTCCCAGCTGAGGACACAGCCTAGTGGCCTGGTCACGAGACGTCTCAGTGGCAGCTGCCTCCTCACTCGGGAGAAAGGAAAGAAAGGAACTCTGGATCTCTGAGAGCTCAAGACCTTGCAGAGGCCGTAGCCCGAGGACCCTGCTGCTGCCCAGCGTCCTGGATGGACTGGGTGGGGCCTCCCCCTGTGCTCTACCCAGATGCCCAGTGGACAAATGATGAACAAATATACCACTCCAAAATGCCAGGAAGTCTAGGCTTAACTCCTCTGCCCACACCACCTCCCCACCCCATTGCCTCCTGCTCACCCCTCATGTTTGCCAAGTGAACCCCTAGTGATGTCTGCCAAGTGAACCCCTCGCTGTGCAGCCTGATGATGAAACAAATGCCCACCCAGCCTGAGACCAGCGGGCTGCTCCAGTTCATTCTGTAAATGCCCACCGAGCAGGTCCGTAGAGGGCAGGGGACCCCATCAGGAAAGAAGAGTCAGGTAGCCCTTCCTGACAAAACAAGGAGGCGATGGCGCCGAAGCCAGGCAGCTTTCTGCTTCCTGAGAAAAATTCCTTGTGTTTCTCCACCTTTCAGTCTCTCTCCCCAGCCCCATGTGTTTATGAAACCTCTGACTTATTCTGATCCCCAGTGTACTGAGAGGAAAGGGCAGAACCGAATTCTTGTACAGCCCGAGTGGTTTACACCCTCCACATACTCTCAAGTATGCCAGGCCCCAGGGTTAGTCAGTCTGGATGTTTCAACTGGGGTGGCTTTATCCTGTAGATTGCTCAGGCCTGCAATCATGAGTCCAAGATGGCAGCTATCAGCCCAACACTTGAGGTGAGTTAATCTACTCCAAGATACACAGCCACATTCAAGAAGAGTAGAAAGTAGCTCTCTTTCGGGTTAATTTCTTTGTTTATGTGCCCTTACTAAGGCTTGAACTCAAGGCCTGGATATTGACCCTTACTTTTTTCACTCAAGGCCGGTGCTCTACTGCTTGAGCTCTACTTCCAGCTTTTTGGTGGTTACTTGGAGATAAGCATCTCATGGACTCTGCTTCTCAGGCTGGCCTCACACCACAATCTTCAGCTCTTAGCCTGCTATAGTTAGGAGTACCAGCATAAGACACTAATGCTGATGTTTTTGTTTTTGTTTTGGGGTTTGACAGACGTTCACTATGTAACTTGATCGGACCTCAAAGTCCCAATCCTACTGCCTCAGCCTCCCAAGTGCTGGGATTACCAATGCTTACTATCATGCATGGATCATTTTTATATCAATAAAATAGCTCAACATTTTCCACTGAAGTTAAAACATTCTTAAAATGTTTCTTTTTATACAATATTACTTTCATATTTTCCAAATGACTGTAAAAATATCCTAATATTTTATATTGATTTACTTATTGAAATGACAATATTTAGGTTATTTGGTTTGGGGTTTTTGTTTGTTTGTTTGTGTGTTTTGGTGATATTAGGTACTGAACTCATGGCCATGAGCTTAAAGTATTGGAAGTCATGTCCCCAGTGCTGGCTAAGTTAGTTTTCAGATGGGAGACTCCCTATTTTAACCAGACTGGCCTCGAGATGCTCCTGCTTTTGTACCTTGGCTGGGTAGCTGGAATTAGAGTCATCTACCATCTTTCCTAGCCTAATATACATTTCAAATTAATTTCACCAGTAAATTTCCTGTCACATTTTTGAATGTGACTATTGGAGAATGCTCCATTACTCTGTCTCCACTGGGCAGCAGGAGCCACAGCTCCCAGGGCCTGCTGATCAGTCACAATCTCAACCTCATGTGTCTTCAAGATGGCAGCCCACCCACATTCTGTTGGCATGCAGGCCATGGGTTGCTACCACCTCCCACCACGGGGCAGAAAAGCCAGTCCCCAGGAGATAGATGCAGCCAGCTCCAGTTCAACTGTCCTCACCCATTTCCCCTCTTACAGAAGCAAAGAACAGCTCAACCGAGGCCCAGCTCAGAAGCCCGAATCTCTACTATTCTGCCAGCCCTGGGCCTCTTGCAGGATGGACCCTGAATTCCTCACAGTCTGGCGTGGTTCTGCCACTGCATTTCCCACAACTACATCCCCCAGTTCAGGACACTTCCTGAATAAAAAGGAACACTGCGCACTCCTGAGCTCATCCAGGCCTTTCCTCTTGGCTGTCCTGTTGGGGCCTGCCTCCCCAATGAGTGTGTCAGCGATATACAGGACATGCCCCTGCCTGGAGGTCAAGGGTGGATGACACCCGGACTCTACCAGCCTATGAGCCCGTGTCCTGTATGTCCTTAAGAGAAGTCACAGAGGCTGTCTGCAATAGACACAGGCAGAAATGGGAGTCAGAAACAAGGGCAGGGCCAAGTCACAAAGAGTCACACTAAGATGGGGGATCTTTGGAGCCTAAAATGGCAAAAGACTCAAACAACAAACAAAAGTCCATGGAATGAGAACCCAGGCCCCATGGTCTATCTGTCTGGATGCTCAGACATTCAGTGAGTGGCTGCTTCACCCTTAGGTGTAGGTAGAAGCTACAGAGAACACAGAGCATTTGGAAGAAATGAAGAAGTAAGAAGCAGCAGATTCTAGCCCGGCCCGACATGCCTGGTACACACCCCCATCGCACCCCCACACAGGCCAAGACTGAGAGGAGGGGCTGAGGGGATGGGAAGACAGGCTTCGCCAGGGTCCTTACCCCCACTGGGTGGTGGGCTGGTTGGGGAGGCTCCCTCCATCTCCTCGAAGGCCTCCTTGTAGCTGTGTAGATGGGGCTGCAGGAGAACAAAGGGGAGGTCCCTGAGGAGAAGGTCATTCCCCTCCAGATGACCTTGGCCATTATGTCAAGTCACATAGCACAATTCCCCTCCCGGGCTGACTCTCCACCAGTGTTCAGGTAAGGTGTCCAGTGGAGACGCTGGCCATGCACAGCCCCACAGCTCTTTATAAAGCATGGGGGCATGGCCGTTTCCAAGGCCATTTCTGCCCATCTGAATTCAGGAGCACCTGCCATGGAAATACTTCAGAGCAGTGCCACTGAGGAGGGGCTGGAGGATGGACAGGGGACTCGGGTTCTACCAGAAAGCAAGAGAGAAACAAAAACGAGCAAAGCCCTTTGCTATCCAAAATGACTTCCAAGCAAAGAAGTTACAAGGAAGCTCAATATCATAAAAAGTGGCCCTAGGGCTGGGAATATGGCTTAGTGGTAGAGTGCTTGCCTAGCATGCATGAAGCCCTGGGTTCAATTCCTCAGCACCACATAAAACAGAAAAAGCCAGATGTGGCACTGTGGCTCAAGTGGTAGAGTGCTAGCCTTGAGCAAAAGCAGCTCAGTGACATGGCAAAAAAAAATGGGGAGGGCTCATGCTCCATCAACATCAGAATGTTTCAGGGTATACATGTAAAATACAGGTTCCTGGATCCCAACCCAGCCTTACCTCAGGTGGATTTGGGAATCTAGAGTTTGATCTGATGCCCAGTGGTTTTTACACACACTCAAGTTCAAGACCCGGTGCCTCTATATCTCGAAACATCTCAGAAATACAAATATTTGAGCATGAAAACTAAATCGTCCAACAGATCCTTGATTTCTGGGAAGGACTCCAAACACATTCCCGCTAGTCTATCGGACTAGGTTTGGAGACTACAGTCACCTATGTCATCTCCAGGATCCTGATCTCCCTCTCAAGAACTCTAAGATTCAAGATGGGAGAACCCATCTCAGCGTTAATATAAGGAGTGGGGACACAAAAAGCTATCGAAGGGAGGAAATGGCCTCCAGATACTACATGGCCAAGAAGAGACCTTAGGTAAGGATGTGGGGGGTGGAGGCAGGGAAGAGCAAATCGCTGACAAGATGACCACCAGGTGACACGCTGACCACTGACTCCTGGAGGTATTCAGTGGGCTCCACTGCTCTCTGGAGCCGCAGGGTGCTGTTTATAGACTCACCTCTTTGGGCCGCCCTCCGGGATTGAGGGCGATGGTGAGAGCCAGCTCGGGGGAGACGCACTGGACAGGAGAGCGGACCCCAGGGCTGCGGGGGGATGTCGCTTCGGGAGAGTGGTTCTCATACTGTCCATCGCTGGCTGCCCGCCTCCTGAGCGGGGCCGGGGGCTCTGCAGGCTGCCTCTCCCGAGCCTGCACCCCTGAAGGAATGGCAGGGCAGGGAGGGCAATGAGCACATTACTTGACAAATGAGTGATTCCCATCTAATTCCCCCACACACACCCTGACACAGTCCTGAGAAGACAGGGCTAGCACAGGGGCAAAGCCAGCCAGGATTTCCCTCCCCTTAGCATCTTCCCCAGCCTTCCTGGGCCCAACTCTTGCTCACATCCTAGAGTCTTCTCTGCAGGTTAGGGATCAGCTTTGCCCTGGGCTTAGCCTTCTGTAGGAATCTACTCTATGAAGAGTGGGGACCAGGAGCACAAAAGATTGATACAAGAAACAGATGTTCACTCCTTCCAGCCCCTGGAGGCAGGGGGCCAAAGCTTCTAGACGAGGAAGGGAAGGCAGAGGAAGAGACAGTCTCCAAGGCAACCACATCAACCAACAAGCAACATGGAGCCCGTGGGGAAGAGCTCTTGGAAAGGGCTCAATTGCATCATCTTGTAAATGGTGAAACGAAGAAGCAACCAAGTCTTACTTGTTCTGGCATCCTCTCCCAACTGGCTGTTGGGAATGTTTCTGGCCCTCTCTAAGGCCTTCTCCCCAACCATCTCAGGAGCCTCTTATCAACTTTCCCTTTTCTAAGCACTCTCTCCTCTCACCCCAAGGTAGCAGAGGCCCCCACCATGGCCCCCCTCACCAAAGGGCAGGCAAAGAGATGTTCCATCTGCTGGCTGGCTGCACTTCCTATCCTGCTTGCGCGGGCTGGGCATGCTGTCAGCCTCCTCCTCTCCCACCCCACCCCCCTTCCTACAGCTGCACTGAGGCATGGAACCCATTGCCTCATTGAGCTGGCTCCCAGAATCCTAGAAAACTCATATCCTGGAAACCATGACTGAGCCCAATGTCTTCATCACCAGGACTAACCAGAGGTCCTAAGCCACACAGGCTGGGGACCCCGAACATGCATCTGAGATATGCGGGATTGTGTGTATACATGTAGACACACAGATGCACACACACACATAGATTCACACACATGCACCCATACACTGCTGGGCCCTAGGAATGTGTCAGTGCAGCCAGGCAGGAATCAATCCACATCCTCAATCATCTTCCCATCCACAACGAGCTCTGTACATCCCGGCAGCCCCTGGGAGACCCAAGCTGGCCCTATGGCAGCCATGATGAGTGGCGCCAGCTAGGAAACAAACCTTCCTGCTGGTCACAAGCAGCAGGCTGCTGGCTGCCAAGTTCACAGCTGATACTCTAAGACTGCCTCACACAACCCCTGCAGCACACATCCATACGCTCCCAGGGCCTGTAAGCATGTCTATGTGCTGACACAACACACAGACATGAAATGCAGACGGCATGGAGGAGGGGGTTTGTACTCAAGTAGTACCTCTGCCTGCCAACTCAACTGAGACCAGGATCGACTTCTCCCTGCCTCCCGCAAGCTGTCGAAAGTAAACGGGCCCCTAATCGCAGACTGTCCTCATTTGCAGAACAGAGAAATATGTGCGTTCCAAGACGGAGCTGCTGGAAGCATCCACCAGGAATGGAGGAGGGTAGGGGTAGGGGAGCCATGCTGGCTGCCTCCACCAAGTCGGACTCCTAGGCTTTGGAGGACATCATACCGGGCCAGCACCTCAGCCAGACCTGTGGGAGGATGCCTTTAGCCTCAGCCATGCATCCTCCTTCCTCCCACAGCCCCTGACCCACACTCAGTCCTCTGGGGAATGTGGACCAGAGCTGTTGCTGGCTTCGTTCCTGGCACTCACATTAGAGAGAAACAGACACAGCCATTGATTTTCTAACAATGCCGTGACAGAGGAGGATGGCTGGAGAAGGGCGCTGGGGGTGAAGGAATCATCAGGGCTGGTTGCAGTTCTGGCCTCACCCACCTCAGTAGCCTCATTCCTGGTGGCTTCTCTGCCTTGTCAGGGAATGACCTGGTTCCCTATTTGGAGATCTGATGCTTTAATTTTGCCTAAAATGGACTGGTTCCCTCGGCAGCAGCCGTTGGGAGCCAAGGTGGCCCCTCACATGGGGCTCACCACAGGGCCCTGCCCAGGACAGTCAGCCAGCCACCAGACAGTGCACCCAGCCTTCTTGGTTTGTTTCTTCCCCTGGCTTCCATATGGGGACAAAGTCCTGACCAGCGCCAAGGAGGAAGGACCAAAAGACCACCAGAGTCATGGAGCCTCCCCATCCCCCACTGCAAAGGGAAGAAGACCCTCACCTTCCACTCCTACAGGCCAGCCCCTGGGGAGGGTTGCCAGGGTACCCCATGACAGCAGTGGCCTGTCACAGCCACTCACATTCTTTAAACACAGTGTCCCACTGTTGTCCCCCTTGGCAAGCCCAGTGCTACCCTAGAGAGTCTGGAGAGAGAGCCCCTACTCCCCCCACCCTCTCGCTTTCGTCTCTCTAAGAGAGGGGAGCGGGCATGGAGGAGAGAGAAGAGAGCGCCATTGTTCCTAAGCCAAGCAGAGTTGCCTGGACACAAGCTGACAGCCAGTGTCAGAGAGAGAAAACAACCCTCTCATGTCTCAGGGACTGACCGTGATAAAAATGACCTGCTCCCCAGCCCTGCCCTCCACCTGGACTTCCTCAGTCCCCAGCCCCATTATTCTCTCCCTCAGGGTCTCCGTCTCCTACATGCACACAGGCGCAGTGGGCACGCACGCATGTGTGCACATGTGTGTGTACGCACGCACAAACAGAGGGCAGCAGGCCACTATGGTAGTGGAGTCTTTGGGGATGCTGACCCTCTCTACAGTCAGCCCCTACAAACCCCTGCAAGAAATGAGGGGCCCTGAGGAAGAAAGGATGAACGAGGAACTCTGGAAGGTTCTCTCAGGTCATCTGGAGAACTCTGCCCTCTACCCAAGGAACCTGAGGAGCAGGAAGTCCTGACAGATGATCACACCTCCTGTCAGAGAGCCTGCCTCATCCTCTATGGCTGGCATTGAGTTCTGCTGTCCTGTGAATGCTGTCACCTCAGCCAGGGACTGCCACACAGCTCCAGATGTGAGGACCAGTGCAGGGGTCGGTGCCACTGCCAAGGAGCCACACTGCCATCAGGATGGGGTTGTTCCCAGAACAGCTCTCTGCCCTGGGCTCCCCTCACAAGAGCAGATAGGAGACAATTGACCCTGCCACCCAATCCACACACTTGCACACATGCAAATGCACACATACGCACACACACACACACACACACACACACTGCAATTCTGGAAGCTGAAGTCCTGACACCTATCACTAAACACCCTTTGGAAAAGCACTGATCCCTCACCCAGTCACATGGGCAAATACCCTGGTGTCATCACAGGCCCCCCAGAATGCCCCAGGCTGGTCACCCTCCACCCCCCCACACAGACCCAGCTCTTCTTTCCAGCCTTCCAATTTCCAAAAGACTGGATTGCTCAGCTCCAGACGGCAGGACTGGGTGTCCGACTGCATGCCCGGGCTCCAGAAGTGGGAGGATCCAGGAGGAAGGCCACCTGCTGGACCAGGGCACCAGAAAGCCACACGGCAACCACACTAGCAGCCCCAGGGCAAGTCATGCCAGCTCCCCTCGGGACAGGATCCCCCCCCCCAGATCCTGCCAATCATACTCTCTACCGCTGGGCTGAGAGGAGGGCTGAAGTGGGGGAGGAGGAAGGAGGAGGAGAAAGGAGGAGGAGGAGGAGGAGGAAAGGAGGGGGGATAGGCTGCCTGAGCCATCTCCCAGTTATCCATGAATCAGAACAACAAAGGACCAGGAGGCACTGCCATTGTGGTCCATGATTCTCACAGCCCCTCAGCCTCTTCCTGGAGCTCCTCAAGGCCATGGTACTGGGCTAGCTGAATATACTGTCTCTCTGACAGCAGCCTCCAGGTTCAGAGATGGAGGCAAAGACCTGGGGGTTCCTTCCTTGGGCCTAAGCCCCTAAGGTCCTGCTTTTTCTAAGAGGCTGGGAGTTATGTGAGTGGATATCATTGCCTCAAATCAAAAACCAGACCCTCAGCGGGGCATTGGTAGTTCCTACCTATAATCCTAACTACTCAGGAAGCTGGGATCTGAGGCTCCTAGTTGGAAGCCAGCTGAGCAGGAAAGTACAAGAGACTCATCTCCAATCAACTAGCAAAAAAGCAGGGAGTAGAGCTGTGGCTCAAGTGGCAGAGTGCTAGCCTTGAGTGAAAAAACTAAGGAACTCTGCCCAGGTCCAGAGTTCAAGACCCGGTAGTGGCACACACAATAATAATAATAATAATAATAATAGCAACAACAATTATCGGTTTCTTTTAAAAAAAGAAGCAGGACCCTGAGGCAGGCAGGACTACCATACCACTGAGCAAAATGTGTATGCCAGGCCTTGAACCTCTATTTCCAGATTGGGAAAATGAACTCCAAAGAGTTTAAAAAACAAAAACCTTCCCAAGGGCACAGGCAGGACCAGGGCCACAACTCAAGCTTCTGACTCTTGCCTAGAGTCTTAGCGTCAGAGTCAGCAGGGGGCCCCTGTCCGGGAGATGTGCCCTGCTCAAGAGTGGTCAGGGCAGCAGGAGCTGGGCCACCCACCACTCCCTGTCCTGTGTCTGCTAGCCCCACACAAAGCCCAGCCTGGCTCCTGGAGAGAGTCCTGGCCCTGCAGCCCAGCCTGTCTACCTGAGGCGGCTAGTGGGAACCGTCCAGAGACCTCACTGGGGAGGCCTGTGTCTCCCCCCGCCCCCCCCGGGGACCCTGAACGCTCAGACCCTGTTCCAGCAGGCAAGGCCATGCATCCATGCAGGAGGGGGCCTGGGCTCATGCACAGAGGAGGGAGAGGGAGCTGGACCCGGTGGAGAGGGAAAATGGGCAAAAGGAGAGGAAAGAACAAGGAGGGATGGAAAGAGGACAACTTCTAAAGAAGGACAGGAGGGAGGGAGGAAGGGAGGGAAACAAGAGCTACCAAGGGAAAAGGGAAGGGGGAGAGACCAACCAGAAAGCGAGGCAGCTCGGTGGAGAGGAGGGGGCTGGAAGCTGCCCCTCTGAGCCAGGCCCTGCAGTTTGGCATTGTATGCTACCCACCCGCACCCCAGGGGAGCCGGCAGGAGGGGAGACAGGCGGGAGGGAGGTACCAGGCAAAGCCAGTGACCCACCAAGGGCACAGAGAACAGGTGGACACAGGCATGGGAGGGAGGGGGAGGGAGGGAGGCAGAGGACAAGGCATTAAACAAGACGAAACAAAACAAAAACAAAGAGAAAAATCAAGATTAGTTGATGTTCTGTCTATGGATCTGGACACACACTGGCGGGAGGAGGGGAGTTGAACAAGAAGAGAGGGTAGCTCGGGGTCACGCTCCTCACAGAGCACTGGGACCCTAGTTTCTAACCCCACAGTGGGAGAAGAAGATGGCAGCCTGGGACCGGAGATTTCAGTCTTGTTACTCCTCCCCTCCCCTCCCCAGTGCTTCACTCCCCAGCCTGGCCCATCTTCCTTTCTGTCATGGGTCACCTGCCTGTTTGAACAGGGAATCCTTGCCAGTCTTCACTGACGGCTCTGCCTTTGTCCCTGCCTTTCCTTTTCTTCTCACATTCCTGTCCAGTCTGTCCCTAAATCTCATTGGCTTCACTGCTAAAATGTGTCTACAATCTTCCTCCCATCCCCACCACTTCCTCCCTGATCAATAGCACCAGCCTCCAACCTTGCCCATCCTTTTCTATCCTGGACACACTGGTCCTTTGAAGAACAAGCCAAATGATGTCACCCTGTGGACCAAATCCTCTCCAAGACTTCCCATCCCACAGAGAGCAAAAAGCCAAAGTCCTTAGGAGCAACTACAAGACCAACAGGAAGCTAGCCCCATTCCCGTTCTCTTTCATTCCTCACCTGCTCCAGCCACAGCAGGCACATTTCTGCCCCCAGGCCCTTTACACTTCCTAGTCTACGTAGTACGTTCACTCACTGCCCATGAAATCCCTGACTATCCCATATCAAATGCAACACACACACACACACACACACACACACACACACACACACCTTCAAACCCTCACTGGTATGCCACTGTTTTATCTCTATGGGGCTGATCAGCCATCTGAGATACACACACACACACACACACACACACACACACACACACACTTGCTTCTTTGGGCAGTGTCCAACTCAGCTGTAGGGAAAGATGTTATGTACTGCTTGTCACCATTTTTTCCAGAACCTAGCCTAGCAAGTCGCACAGATTAAAGGTGCAGCGGCCTTGTCATGTTGAATGGGCCTTGGACTCAGCCTGATATTTATTTTAAAAAATGCCAATGCCAACTCTGAAAGAGTGACCTCAGTATCTCTCTACATTTATCCATCCTTTATAACTTCATCAAGAGGTATCAGAGCTCCTGGGTGGGTTTCACTTAGCCCCCTAGGCTAGTAGACCCATCCTCCCACCTCCTTAGAGACTTCATCCTATCCATCTCCATCTTTTTCTTTCTTCTTATCCTTCCTTCTCCAGCTTCTCCCTCCCCTCTCATCATCTACCTAAAAACAAGTCTCGTGACTCTAGTAACAGTTCCCAAGATTGAGCTGCCCTCTTTAACGCTGCTCTCTCTCCTTTCATCAGAAAACCACAGGTGAAGGCAGGCTGCCTTCACTCTCTCTCCACTCCCTCCTCATCCTTCCAGGTCTGCTTCCTGTCACCAGCACTCTACTCACACTCGTGTTTGAACATCACTGGGCCACCTAATTCAACAGCCTCATGGCTATTTATTCTCCCCACCAGACTTGGCAGATGCCATTGAAATCTCCCCCCTCCTCCCCAAATCCTTTACTCTCTTGACTTTGGATGGCACAGTGTCCTTGTCTCTGTCACCGCTCTGAGCTTTCTTTCACACATCCTCTCAGCCTGGTCTCCCTCCTCCCTCCTCATGGCTACACTCTCTCAGCTATGTCAAAGAGACCTCACCACGCCCACAGTTCACTCTCCACTCCAAAATCCACACACAGCTCTTCCCACCCTGCTCTGCGCCAATTCCACAAACCCATATCCTTCGCCAGACTCAAGAGAGACCCACCTAGTAAGCGTCATCATGCACCACGCCTGCTCCAGCTCTTCTTCCCCCTCTGCAGGTTAAAGGACCCTCGTTCTATCATCTTCACTGTCTCCCTCCCTGTCACTCACCACAGCCAATAGGTTTGTGACTGCCTTGGCTCTGCCGTCATAGTACCCATGACATCACTAGGTATTTTCCATGCCCATGGTAAGCACCCTAATCCAGGGCTCCAGGACCAGGGATAGCTAATAAGCTGTTAGCATCTCCCCTTCAAATCACACCCATTTCCATCCTTCCTGCCTAGACCTACCAGATATATCTGCAAGAAGCACAGCTCTGCCCATGGTTCATCCTCCTGATGAAGACACCTAATGGCTGCACTGCTAGATAAACTGCAGTTTAGTAATTAAAAGACATCTTGATGCCAGGCACCAGCTGCTCATGCCTATGATCCAAGCTACTCAGGAGGCTGAGATCTGAGAATCAAGGTTTGGAGCTGCTGCCTCCCGGGAAGACAAATTAGAAAGACTTATCAACCATGAACCAGCAAAAAGTAGGACACGAAGTAAATCAAGTAGTAGAGCACCAGCTATGAGTGAAATGGCCAAGAAAGAGGTTAAGGTTGTGAGTTCAAGCCTGAGCCAGGCCCTTCCTGAGTCTTCCTGTCCATGGTCTACAGTACTATCCATCCACTGTTAGCCCTACAGATACCTCCTGTGCTTTCTTGTCCTCACCATGGGCCTGCTTTACCCAGGGACCTCACCCACTTTCAAAAACATTTCCATCTCCCATGGTTTGGTTCAACCATGCCCCCATGCTCCTCCTCATCCTCACTAGCTCTCCACTTCTCTTCCCCAGATCTTTCTCCATACCTCTTATAACAAAGGAATACAACTTCATCTTTTTTGTTTTCTTCTTGTGGTTAGTTTTGCTTTGCTTGATTTTGGTGCTGGCAACCAAAGCCAAAGCCTTGTGTGTACAAGGCAAGATTTCTACCATTTGAACTATATCCCTAGACCATAACTTAAAATTCCCATTCTTTTCTTCTCCTAAATGCCAGACTCCTTAAGAATAAGACCCATATCTGATTTCCAACCTGCACTGAAATTTCCATCATTCACCTAAGAAGTGTCCAAAGACATAGCCCATCCGTCTAATCACTGATCAGAACTTCAGACACCTCCACTGGATTCCCAACTCTAACTCTTATTATTTCTTTGTCTTGTCTTTTGCATTGGACGAGACTTCCAATACAGTATTACATGATAAGGATACTTATGTTGCCCATCCCTAAGTATGATGTGCACTATAAATGAGTCTACTCTTTCCCAAATTAGGAAAGATGTATCCTGGCTTTTGAGACAGTCTACAGTAAGAGCATTGGAAGGAGGATTACATTTCTAGAATGTAATCTCCCCTCAATAAAACCAAGAGGAAAAGGGTTTCTGCTGACCAAGCAGCCAGGGAGGGTCCCTCATACCAGGGACCCAGAAGTGGGGGTCAACAAAAGTCACAGTCCCATCTAGAACAGCCCAGGCCACACCTCACCCCTAGAGGCACAGAGATGTTTCTGGGTCCTGACTGCAGGAAGCAAGGCCCTGACTTCCAGCTTCCTTGGTGTAAATACATCTGCAGGCCACGCAGAGCGGAACTGGGGATTCTCTACTCCAAAGTGCAGGGGCAGAGCACCCATGCCCCCACACCCAGTCCTGAGCCCAACCCAGAGCCAGCTGGCCTCCTGAGCAGCTTCCCTTAAATCATGGCCCATCCCCAGGGAGGGTGTCTCCCTCCCTCCCTCCCTGCAGCTGGCATGGTGACTCAGAGACCCCTAAATTTAGGAAAAGGGTGGAGGGCAGAGCCAGCTGATCTTCTTCCCCTGGGAACTCCTACCACCCAGTCAGCTGAGGAGCAGGGCTCAAGGCCCACCTCTCCCAGCCCCACTCTCTGGGCCACCCCTGCCCTGGGCCCTACCTCACAACCAATCAGCCAAAAGGACTTCCTGCTCAGGCTCTCTGTCCTGGTGGACCAGTCAGAGAGTAGGGCCAGTGAGTTTTCTCTCCTGGGCTGGATATTCATTTCTCTCCCCTCCCCACCCCCCAATAGGTTCTTCCGTCTGTCCTCTACTCTCCTCTCTCTCCAGTTAGCTTTCTGGATCTCTCTGGTATGAAAAGGAGCTTTGTTTCACATACTGAGCTGGTTCTAGCAAGGGCAACAGAACAGCTGACCGAGAAGGGAGACCTTTCCCCAATGACAAAATTCCTTAAAGGTCCCCAGGAGGATGAGTCTCAGACTGAACTGAGCCTGGGGCGGGAGGGGGGCGGGTAGCTCACCCCTACAGGCCTCCTGAGGGCCTCCGGGAAGTCCTAAGAGAAAAACCAAGTCCATAGAGCCCCTCCACCCTCAGCCTTCTCCATGCCTGTCGTAAAGATGGGAAGTCTGAAGACAGTGAGCATGGCAGACAGTCCCTTAGAAAGTCTGTACTCTGCCTACCAGGAAGCTTGCCTTCATTGCCTTAGGCATTACGTTCCCAGGTTCTAGAGGCCTTGGTCTCACTTCTGCCACAGCACCATGCCCTCTGTGGGTGCAGCCTGTGTACCTTGACTAGACAGTAAATTTCCTGAAGCCAGGAACTGAGAGATATTGATTTTTTGAGTCTACATGTCTGCTTTGGTTCCTAATAGGCAGTAAATGTGGGAAAAGATGGCTGGGCACATGCTCCTTCAACCTTCAGGGCTGCAGAGGGTCCATCGCTATGTTTACCTCCCCACCCTCCCAAACCACAGAGGGAAGGGGTGAAGGGGAAGAAGGAGGGGACATCCACCTCATGGGGACCCCAAGGCTCTTACCTGCCACCCGGTGGGCCACCAGCCCTTCCAGGTTCAGTGGCTCTTCCTCAGGGGTTCGGGAGCGGTCTGAAGTTGCTTCCTTTGGTGGGAGCTGAGGCTGAGCTGTGAGGCCAGGGAGAGAGGCCGGGGGCTGCTGAGGCCCTGCAGGGCTGTGGGTGAAGGTGGGCGAGGAGGAGGCAGCTGGGCTCTTTGGACGGAAACTCTGGTTGGCCCCAGCTGGACAAGACTGATACTCATAAGGTGTATAAGACCTGCTAGGAGCCACAGGCTCGGGGGTTCCGGTAGCATGCCCACTGGGAATGTAGCCAGATCTGGACTGGGTGAGTGGATGGGACTGGCGGGAAGACCCTGAGAGGGGCTGAGAGGAGAGTGGGGAAGCCCCTGGCCAGGCCCCAGGGACGCTCTGTGACTTGTGCAGGGGGGCAGCAGCGGTGGTGGGCTCCAGGTCCAGCATCAGCAAATTGAGGGTCTCAATGGACTGCTCGATCTCCTGCTGGGAGGCCGCCCTGGGGAACTCGGGGAGAGCAGGGGTGGGGGTTTCTGCCAGTGGCTGGGGGCTGGGTCTGTTGCTTGGAAGACTCTCCAGCTGGCGAGGAGGTGGGCGAGGCTGCTGCTGCTGCTGCTGCCATGAATTCAAGCCCCTCTGTACAGCCTCCCGACTGCTGCCACCACGGGCTGGAGCGGGGGGCAGCTGGGGCTCCACATCCGGAAAGGACTGAGAACGGAACATGCCACTGGGGTCCTGGCCATAGTGGGAGGTGGTCACTGGCTGTGGCCAGGCTGGGTGGAGCCCCTCACGCTGGTAGCCAGCTAAACCCTCCTGCGTGGAGTAGGAGGGCTTCATGGGGGCCACATGGCTGGCATGGGCAGTTGCTGCCCGGCTGGCTGACTCATAGGGGTAGCCCCCGCCATTGACCAGAGGTTCCCTGGGGTATGGCTTGTCCAGACCATTGGTGAGTGGGGACAGAGACTCAGGGTAACCTCCCTCACTGATGTTGGTGACCCCGTCCAGGGAAGACAGAGTTCCCATACTGCCTCCGCTGTGCCCATCCTGGTTGGGCAGCTCATCATCCAGGATGTCTGTCTCTCGCTCGGATGCCAAGGTCCCACCGTTGACATGAACCTGGGCTGGCACAACATGGCGGCCAGAGGAAGGCACAGCCGAGCCCCCAAGTGGGCGGGACCTGAGGGGCTGTGAGTGGTACATGGCACCTTGTTTCTCTCGCTCTAAGCCAAAGCCACTGAGCAGGCGGTCCAGCTCCTGCTTCTCCTGGGGACTCAGGGAAGTGGGGGCCCCAGCAGCCCCCGGGCCAGGCTCATCGGTCTTGTCTGTCTTGGTGGAAGCTGTAGAGTTGCCTGAATCGCTGCTCACGGACAGGGTGTGCTCCACGTGATTGGGTGTGGCCGACAGGGCAGGGCAAGTAACAGCCACTACCCCGGTGCTGCCGTTGAGGGAATCCTTCTTCTTCACCTTGGCATACAGGCTCCCATCCAGTGGCCCCTGGGTGTGTCCCACCACTTCTGTAAAACAGGGCAGGGCAAGGGGAGACAGCAGGCAACGGACATTAGTGGAAGGAGAGGGACACCTGCCATGCTCCCAAGAAAGGAGCTAAGATCTCCCGTTCCCCGGATCCCCAAACCCTCATCTGAGAGGGCAAAAGAGAAGGACTAAGAGCTCAGGCTTTCCAGGAGAGCATTCACCAATACCCAGCTTCAAGCCAGACACCACCACTGAGGACAGAGCACATGGCCCAGCTTCCACACTCAGCTCTGGCCTCTCACCAGCGTCACAAACATGGAGGCGTCAACTACTCCCTGGGCCTCAGTGTCCTTGTCTATGCTATGGAGATGGTAAAAGAATCAGATTGAGCTCAATGAAATGGCCGATACTCAGTGCATCAAAATGAGCTGACATGTCATGTGCTGAGACCACTAACCCCTACCGTGAAATGTCGGCATCTGGGAATCATGACCATCAGTTCCTGAAGGTCCCTCCTCAAGTATAATCAGCTCCCTCCTCAACTCCATTCACAAAGCTGACCTCTGATTCCTAGAATTCCTACTCTGGGCTCATTGGAGGCAGAGGCCAGGAGACGCAGGTGTTACAGTAACCACACATGGAGGTGTAAGCATGGTGATCCAGGCCTCCTCTATGGGCAGCATTCACCCAAGGTTATGGGAGAGAGCCTGGAAGGGCAGTAGAGGGGCTGTGAAGGGCTGGGGGGGGGGAAGGGGAGGGAGGGGGCAGATGCAGGAAGAAGGCAGACTGAGGTTCTCTAGGACAAACTTTTTCTGGAGCCTCTAGTTTGGCCCAACCCAAAGAATTTTCTAAGGCTGTTCAGACAATACCATTCAGCCCATCCACGGACATTTCCAGAGGCGTTTCCCTGGTCTTCCCCGGCACTGTTCCCTCTTTAGCCCTCTTCACAGACCCATACCACTCAAGCCTCCACAAAAGCAGGCACTAGTCAAGAAATGGTTAGCTGGGTGGGATGCAGCAAGCCCACAAAAATGAGTGTCCCGATTACCATTGCTCAGGACCCTGGAAGAGCCAGGTGGAGGCGGAGCTCAGTAAGACACCAGTCCCCTGCCAAAGGGGACAAGCTCTGCCAGGGAGGGAGGGTTGGCATGGGGGATGATGGGGGTTCTGGATCCAGGTGGTAGGGGAGCATCTCAGGCATAGAGAGAAGAGCTGACAGCTCTAGGGACCCTTGGGGAACAACAAGCTCTGAAAGGAAAAAGTGAGTGCTGAGTGGCTAGAGGCCAGAGGGCTGACTCAGGAAGAGAACTTCCCCGCCCAGAGCGCCTCCCGGATTCCACACACCATACAGTCAGCAGCTCAGCCTCCAGCCCCAGCACGCACACATGCACACCAACGTACACACACGTACATGCACACATGTACACATACTTCCTCTCCTTTCTGTCCTATCCCAGCCCCTAGCCGGCAGAGGGGGGGGGGGGAAGCCCACTCCAAAGCACAGCCACAACTCCAGCCAGCATACCAGTAGTTACACACAGAACCAGACACAAAGATGGCTGGAGACACACGCCACCCAAAAACCAGCCAAGTCAGAAAGAGCCAGGCCTGCACTCACTGGGCACCCACACGACTCAACACTGAGAAGCACTGTTGGAAAACACGGGCAGACACCATAGTTGCCAGTGTGTGGTGTACGGCTCCATATGCCAAACACATGGCTGGGCACTTTGACACACACGTTTTTTTCTGCCTGTGAGTCTCATAGGGCTCTGCCTCACGGAAAGATGGATAAACAGGCTCAGTGGTGCAAAAATGCACAGTACCTAGTTAAAGACCAGCCTTAAATCAGAACTAATTTGCTTTAAAGACCATATAATTTGTATTATGCTACACAACACACACACACACATACACACACACACGAATAAAAGCAGGAATACCACAAAATAAGTATTTCAATTTAAAGCCACAAACATCTCAAAAAAAAATACAAATGTCCCTGCCATACCCAAGGTTCTGCCCTCAGGCCAGAAGTAACAGTCTCTAAAAATAAACCCTTAGACAGAAACTCAGGGCCAAAAACAAGTGATCAGACAAACCACACAACAGGAATGTCCCAATCAACACACACACACACACACACACACACACACACACACACACACACACACACCACAGGCCAACCAAGTTATCTCACTAGAGGACTTGTACATCAGGCCATGAGTCCCCCTAAACATACACACACACGCTCACACACACATACATACACATGCATGCTTGCACACTGAGGGCTCTGCCTATCCACAGCACTCGGCAGAGCCACACATCTTCCCTCAGTCTTCCTGAGGCTTCAGAGCCTCAGCCAGAGGTGGGTTACTTTTCATCTAATGATCCTAGGTGCTGGATTGAACAGTTAAGGGGCTTGGGCTGAGATGTGTACTGAGTTCCCCCCAACCTCCCCTGTGTCCAGCCTCCTCAAGGAGGCTAAGGTCAGGGCATGGTTGCCTCTCCAGCTAATCCAGTGATCATCTTCAAGGGGTCCAAGCAGCAGGGTGAGAGAGGCTGCCCGTCATGCCTATCTCTCCAAGAACTAGCTCCTGGCTGCACACGGAAACAGAAGTTCTCCAGCAGGCTGTTTCTACAGGTGGTCATTTAGTACCATGGGGGGGGTCCCTGGAGGACCTGGCTTTTGTTCCTTCTGAGTCAGGAAGGCAGCAGGACCTGTCTGCAGGTGCCATACTGCAATGCCAGCATGTACCTTCTGGGATAATGCTGCTTTTGCCTGCTTTTGCAGGGCTGGGTATGGGTTGTACAAGTCATACTCCCATGCTTGGCAGTCAGCAGAGCCCTCCTAGGGGCTGGACAGGACTGAAGACCCACAGCTTTCCACTCACTGTGAGACACAGATGGTGTCTCAGAGTCCGTTCTATTTGAGAGCATCAAGGCCACCCCACCCACTAGTACTTTCTCATAAAAGAAGACCTTGCAGCAAGGGCACTCAGAAAGCATCCCCAAGGTAAGACGAAACACTCACATTGCTCACACTCTCTGACACCCCGGCCCCTCCTCGGCCCCTCCAGCCAGGCCTCACTCTCCATCGATTTTGCAAATGTCAATATTCAACCTGTTCAGCCATGTAAGTTTATCCCCAAGTGACCTACTGTTTGCAGAAACATCAGGATCAGAATTTGCCAAGCCACTAAGACTTAGAAAATCGAAGAGGTGTAAATTATTTAATTAAACTCTGCTTGTTAAGTGCAAATGAACATGTTTCTTGCTGTCCTCAAAGAAGGAGCCAGTTGGTCCTGATTGCCCAGGGCTGGCTGAAGAAACCATACACTCACTGTAGGCCACTCTGCACCTTTGGTTGAACTATCTTCTTTACAGTGAGGGCAAAGTCAAGGATACTTGGGCCAGCCCAGCCACCAGGACAGCTCTACTGACCTGCCCGGCATGAGGGTGTGTCCCGCATAGCCCATACCCTTCCTCCTCCTCTAGAGATGGAGGCTCCCAGCTGCGCGTGCGCGCGCACACACACACACACACACACACGCACACACACACACACACTCACCTCACTCCCTCTCCCCACCCACCGTGGCCACATTAAGAGCTATTTACCCGGACCACAAGCAGCCGGAACACAATGTTGGTTTCAATCTATCAAGGCAGGAAGGGCAAAAGAGAGAGGCAGACAGAATGAGGGAGGAAAATAAAGTGGTGGAGGACAGGACAGGACACTTCAAAGGGGATGGGGGAGAGAGATTTAAGGCTATAAGCAGATCAGCAATCAGCAGCACCTCTAGCGCAAGTCCCAGTAGCCTCCATGGGACTGGCTAGTTTAGGTAAAGCCACCTGACAAGGGAGAGTCTGTTGTGGCTCAGAGGAAGGGTGGCAGGATAAAGAGGTCTGGCTGGTGGGGGTCATGGGTACTGATGGGTACAGAAATTGGTGGTGGTAGAAACACAGGTTGCAGAAGCACAGGAGTAAGAGGTGCCCAGCCCTAACCCAGCCAGCCTGAATGTCCTGTAACACGGGCCATCTCCCATCCATTCCTCTAGGGAAGCTGGGAAGTCCACAGCCTCTTCAAGGCCCCACTTGCTTTGTCTGGCTGTGTCTCCCTGCTCTTCTAGCAGCTGCTGGGAGCCCCAGACTCCACCCTGGCCGCTGAACTTGCTTCCATGCACACTCGGCCCTTAACTCCATTGCGGCTGAGATCCAAGGTGCGAGTCATGCTTTTGGAAAGATGAGAGGAAAATCCCCAGCTGACTTGGACGAGGCCCTACTCCCTAAGCCTCCCCTTGTCATACACGCATGGAGATGTGAGGTGCTAGGAGCGCGGGCGAGGCGTGTTCATCTGATACATTTGCAGAGAACAAAAGAAGCAAGGGGGAGCCCCGGGTTGCATGGTCTTAGGGCCCTGTTTTTTGATTCTGATGCTCCTAAGAATCCCTTTGGGGAATTATGTACAATATAGGTTCCAGGACCTGATCTTAAGAGATTGTGACTTGGTAGAAGGCTCAGAGTTGACATTTTCAAGAACTCTCCTGGGGTTTGGGTACTCCCTGCCCCCCATACACACGGAGAACATCTCAGGAAACCCAGGGTCCAGTGAGCACACTTCAGACATCAGGTGAAGGACCCCTCTTGCTTCCTGACATGAAGGAGGGGCTCTGCTTATTTAGATCTCAGGACTGATGATCCAACCATGAAGAATAAAAGATGTCATCCCAACTGATTATAAACGGTTCCTGGCCAGGTGCCGCTGGCTCATACCTGTAATTCTAACTACCCAGGTAGCCAAAACCTGAGGATCACGGTGCAAAGCCAGTCCAGGTAGACAAATCCGAAAGACTCTTATCTCCAAGTTACTATCAAAAAGCTAGAAGTGGAGCTATGAGTCAAGTGGTAGAGTGCTAGCTAGCCTTGAGGGAAAAAAAAAAACTAAGGGCACCGGTACAGAAAACAAAACAAAACAAAAACAAAAACAAAAAAAGGGAGTTTGGGATCCCCTTCATGGACTCCATGAGGCGAGTCC